TCATAAAAAATTGGTAACTATCTTTAAAATTGACATTATTATCCAGAAATAAAGAGTATTTTCCATAAGGATAATTAAAGTATGCACATCAATTAGGTATATAATAAATATTATAAAATTTAAATGTTGTTTATTTTCACCCTTGATTGTAACACTCCCTTGTTATAGAAAGTCTAGGGTATAAAGACTCGGTTCTCTTGGGGAGGACCACCAGAGTGGAATATTTCAGAGCCGTACCCCCCTCCCTTTGAGGATCTTTCTTTTTTCCCTTTTTTTGCATCTCGCGGATGCTTGCATCTCGAAATCAATCAACTCAAGTGTCGCCGCATTTATGAGGAGAGTCTGTGTGGTCCACTATCAAAGGCCGAACCGCCGACCAACCGACCAACCGACCAAAATGCATTTGTTGTAAGTGGCCGTGTCTATGGGTCGCCGTTGCCATCGACGTTCCACCTCGCACACAGGTGAAATTTACCACTTCAATGGCTAAAAACAACATTTGAATGCGACAGTCGACAACGGCTACAACGGATGTTGGGCTCTAATGTGTGTAAACAGTGAAACCCAACGAACGGACGGGCAAACTGGCGGTACTCGAATTACCTGTAGTCGGTGTTACCTGGCTTTGGATGAATCGGCAACGTCATATCGCGACGGATCGCATATGCATATATGCGGGTATATGGCCAGAAATTGATGTCGGGGCCTTTCGCCTTGGAGTTTGCCGCTCTGTCAATATTTTGCTTATATTTGAAAGCCGCCATCGCGTCGATGATTACCTGTTGGCTGGCAAAAAACGGAGACAAAATACAGAAAAAAAACCCAAACCCAGCCCGATCCAAAGGAGAACCCCGCTTAACCCTAAAAAGCCGAGATGCCGACGCTGTGGTAGGTGCAACTGAAGTGGTCACAACTGGGGAGACACTTTTCCTTGTCAAGTGGCCGGTCGCAGCTTTGAAGTGCGGCGATGATGTCCAAAAAGTTTTGGGCCCCTTATGTGACCAGGGTCAATTCCGTAGGCCACCTCATCGAAGTTCCCACTAATTAGCTGCTATGTTCTTCAATTAAAAAGAAGCTTCAAAAATTTCCATTTAGCTTGAAGTGCTCATAAATGGGCCATGATTGGCACTCTTGGCACTTGAAGTTTTGACTTCAAATCAATTTCAAACGAGGTAAACAAGCGGAAAAGGAACTGATGATAAATTAAGTAAAAGGGCAGGGCCCCGAGAAATCTTGTTATCAATTTAATCACTGATAAGTGCGTTTCCTTTTCTTTTACTATTATCAGATAATACTACTAATTTACCTCTGCATTCGGAAGCGCAATCATGTTCTTTTAAGTACCTTTAAATTAATGCAAGCTATTTTTGTTTTGCTCCAGATAAGCTTATTTTATATCTATACTCTATGGTTGGATTGCTTGGGAGTAAGTTAAGATTTAATTAAGGCAGTAAGGATTGTTGATTGTACAGTATTAAAAACCAGAATTTTTGTTATAAAAAAACTCATTTTTCTTCCAGCTTAACCAAAATACGTCGCACAGCCAAAGAAATTACTGTTTTGTCAAGCTGCGGAACAAAACTTTTGATTCCAGGCTTATTTAAAAAAAATAATTTTTTTTTACTGATTTTCGCATTTTTTATAAGGGGGTAGATCATGTTTTTTTGCGAAAATTGAGAAAAAATTTAATTTTTTTCTGTAAATGCCAATCAATTGGAAATTTTATTACGAGTTCAACGATGTATGACATTCCAATATTTGACCATTATTTCCCAGGGTTTCGATTAAAAAACCGAGAGTCAAAATGATTTTTTCGTATTTTTTGGCATACACATGATTTCTTTTACGAAAATTTACCAAATGACTACTATTTTCTTTTTTTCAGAGTCGTCTTCTTTTATTGTGATCTTTTTTTTTATATATTCAAATATACATTTATTAATGTATAAAAATTAAAAATTTCTTTTCATTCTGTTTTGTCTAAAGATAAATACAAAATATATAAAATTTTAGCAAGATGTGGATTGCAAAACGGATTGTTTTCGCAACCAATTGTATTTCGATTATGGCCGAATTCGGCAGAATCATTTGGCCACGCCTGAGTGGCCACTTAGCCCCTCCACGATTGCCCAAGAAACGAGCAGCTGAATTATTGAAGGCGATTACATGGCTGCTGTGATTAACACCTGGCCAAAAAGTTCGCACATCTTGGGACGAGATGAGATGAAATGTGGTTTCGGATCGCCAACCAGTTGGAAACTGCGAGGTTTTCAGTGACTGTGTGTGTTTGTGGTGGCATTTGCACTTGTATCGGATTATGATGGGCAACAAACATTTTCGGCCATGTTTGTTTACTTTGCTCCGCCTCGTCGTTTTGGCTGTATGGGTGTGCGCTCTCTTGTATCTTGTATTTTGTATCTGTGCCCGCATCCGTGCGTGTGTGTATCTGTGAGTGTCTGTATCTCAGTCGCTCTTGCGCATGTCTTGTGCGCAGTTCGCCCGAAAAGTTGCCATTGCAGTGCCTCAACTGAATGGGCAAACTCACCGAACGACCCTCGCAAGGCACGCCATTTTCGCCGTGGCTGAAATTAACGAAAATCAATTTCTCAGCAAATAACCGGATTTATACGGCTGTGGCGGCAAAATTAAGATGCGACCAAGGCAAACACATCGGTTGGTGCAGCCTTAATGCGAAACGGATTAGCTGACAGAGCTGGCCAACTATTTCTGGCCAACAGCAAGCTAATATCATATCAGTTATCTTTTGGGGCTAAAGTCCATATATGAAAGTCCAAGCAATCCTAAAATAAAACGTTTAGATTACCGGATTGTTTTTCTTAAACGAAAAGCAGCAGATGTCAGCAAACATTTTGACTTAAAAAAGTGGTTGTATTTGTACTTTATAAAATCAACATATTTAATTAATTGGTTTTAATAAACATACAGCAAAGGTTTCAAAAATATTTGGGTCTATGCAATTGAAAAATATTTTTTTTAAAAGGTCAGTTATTAAAAAAAGTACAGTAAAGGCTCTAGAGATAGAAAACTTTTTTTTAAAACTTCTGTGAAAGCAAACCAATGCTGCGAAAATAGCAATTTCAAAGATATTTTCTATTAAATGTTATGTATTTACAAAAAAAGAAATTGAAGTCAAATACATTTAAATAAAATACAATTATAAAGGTGACGAGAATGTGTACAAGTAAACTGGTACTGCCTTAAGTCATACAATCGTGTTTAAAGTAAAATCAATAGATCCAAGCTGAAAATGCTGATTTTCTATCTTGTGCACAAACTCCTCTGCTGAAATCCTTCAGAGCTTTAACTTTAAGCCAGGCAACTGGCGAGAGTTGCACGCACTTAAATCCTGAAGGAGGGATGGGGGCTGTGCCGAGGCGCCGGCACCCAGGATCCTAATTACATTTTACTAGATAAATTGTAAACTTTTTCTGTGCACGCTGCCCCCTCGGAATCCAGCCGTTGCATCAGCTTCTTCCAACAGTTATACTTTGTTTGAGTTCTTTGCGTCGCTGCCGTCTTCTTGCGCTGCAAAGTAAACAGACAATGGAGGAGGACCCGGATGAGGGGCAGGATGGCATGCCACCACCCTGGAAAGGACACCCTGTACCAAGGAGCGCCCGGTACGTGCTGGTTGCGTTTGTAAGCGTATTTCCGGCAGCGGATGTCTGCAACAGCAGCGTGGCAGTAGGGCCATCCCCATCACCATCACCACCGGCGAATGTTGGCTCCGGCCAAACGATTCCGGATCGAGTCCTCGGCCGGCGAAAGTCAGTCAGTGCCGGTTACACATTTTCAAAAGTGCTTTGGCGTAGCACGCTCTGCCATTAGTAGTCGCACTCGTGGGGGCGTCCAAAGTTTCCAGTCCCAAGTCCTGAGTCCTGCCAAAGTCCTGCATGTGTATCTGTATCTGCAGCTCCTGGCCAGCAGGCTCCATGCACTTCAAGTCACTACTCCGTGTGTGAGTGTGTGTGTGTGTGTAGTTTTGCGCAAATATTTGCATCTGGAATATTTGCGCGCTCCATCATAATTCAAACACAGATGCGCTGTTTGCAGAAGAGCAATCATTTTGACATGCAACTCGCTTCAAAACCGAATTAAGTGGCATTCAGCGTCAGTCACGAGAAGGGCTCGAGAGCCGAGAATCCCTCCAAACTAGCTGCCAGTTTGAGTTGCAGCCCCAATGGCCGTGATTGACACTCATGCAACCGCTTAGAAGGGTAATTTAAAGGGTGCGGACTTAAAATTAAAGGAATAATTAAAACAATATAAAAAAATCACTGATGTAGAGAAGTTCAAGCTGTGCACTGTTTAATGTTTTATTGTCTTTTTTTAACTTTTCGTTTGATATTTCCCAGTTGAGATATTTGAACCAAGATCAAAACATTTTCCATTTATAAAAAGAATGGCTCCTAAATGGTATGACCGTAATTGCGTTAAACCCAAAGGTGGTCTCACTGGTAGTTTAACATAAAAAAAATTAAAGATACAAAAATATTTACATGTCTACTACATCGTACATGTAAAATTACATAGAGAACCCTGGCGTCAAAATCGGAGTACTTGCTTGGCTACGATTGTCGCAAGGTGGCGCCACTGTAAAACTATTGATTTAATTTTAAAAGTGCCCTATCATTCAGGGCACAAAAATACTATACATTGGGAGCTTATGATTTAGCCTAGACATTTAAGTGAACATTTTTTGTTTAAACTTGTAAGTGTAAAAGATTTAAAAATTGTAAACTAAGCGCATATTATTGTCATTAGCACAAAAATGTTTTCATGTCTTCTGTGGAATTTGTTACCCATTTTGCCACACAAATCAGCATCCGAACCTAAATTAATAACTTCACTGTTTTTTTAAGTGTAAAACCTCTACAAGGTTTTCTACATGAGCACCAAAACGACGCCTATGTATTTACAATCAATTTGTATGGCAACGCTGGCTAACAGCTGATTGGACAATCCATCCCTGGTAAAAATCAGCGGCAGCGGTTACGCGACTCGCAAAACTTAAGTTAAAGTCTATTAAAAGTTAGATAAATAAAGTAGAAAATGTTTCGAATTATTAATTTAAGTCGACTGGCCAATACCCTGCACTCCAGTCGAGCAGTCACACATTGGAATCAGCCCACAGGGGCTCTACGAGGATTCCATGTGAACGCCGCGCGACTGAAACGCCGAAAAACAGCAGAGGAGAAGGTAGGTTTTGGAGCGACTGCACCAATCAGTCCCAAACTGTGAGCCCGGCAAACATTGAAGATTCAAAAATACACTCGATTTCAGAGGGCACACTCACTAATTGATTTAGAAATCCCCCAGAATTATAGAGTACTCTCCCAAGAAGACGCAAAAGACGGATGGCGGAGCATCTGATATCTGGAGGCACATGTCCGTGGCCCAATTGGCTAAGGAACTGGAAAGGCCTCTGGGTAGAAACTCCATTTCCTAAAATTTAATGAACCTTTATTAATGATCATCCATCCTTCAGATGATATCCAAGAGGCCATGCTATATGTAAAGGGTGCCGACAACATTGAACCCGCTTTTAAGCTAGCTGACCTCAAAATCATCCAGGAAATAGCCAAGAAACTTGGCGCCAAAACCCGTGTGGTGGCCACACCCGAAGCTTCCAGCGAAGATGACCAAAAGGATCGCGATGTGGCACCCAGACCTCCTGCTCCAGCTAATCTTCTGCAACCACGTCCTCCTGTAGTCACTGTAATGGGTCACGTCGATCACGGCAAGACCACGCTGCTGGATTCCTTGAGAGGTGCTGATGTGGCTGCCGGAGAGGCTGGCGGGATTACCCAGCACATAGGCGCCTTCACCGTCACCTTGGAGAACGGGGAACGAGTCACCTTCTTGGACACACCAGGTCATGCTGCCTTTAGCGCGATGAGGGCCCGCGGAGCCGTGGCCACCGATATCATTGTCCTGGTGGTGGCCGCTGAAGATGGCGTTATGGCGCAAACACGTGAGGTCATCCAGCTGGCCAAGGAAACCCAAGTTCCTATAATCGTAGCACTCAACAAGATTGATAAACCCGAGGCTAATATTGTAAGTTTCAAAGGATCCACCCACGAAAAAAAAACCATTCTAATAAAACCACTCCATTTTCAGGAAAAGAGCAAGAGAGAGTTGGCGCAAATGGGACTTGCTCTCGAGGAGCAAGGGGGCGATGTCCAGGTGATACCGATCTCTGCCCTCAAGGGCACTAACCTTCAACTTCTAGCCGAGGCTGTCAGCACACAAGCCACTCTCATGGGACTCAAATCAGATCCCACTGGTTTGGTTGAGGGAATTGTGGTGGAGTCAAAGACCGATCCACGTCGAGGAAAGCTGTCCACGGCCATTGTGTCGCGGGGCACTCTCCGTAAAGGTTCCGTGCTGCTAAGTGGTTTATCTCATGCCAAAGTGCGAGGTCTCTTCGATCACAATGGCCAGCCTTTAACCGAAGCTCCGCCGGGCACTCCAGTGGAGATTCTGGGCTGGCGCGAACTGCCGCTGGCTGGCGACCTCATTCTCGAGGTGGAAACAGAGGTGGCCTAAGTTTTGATTTTCTCATAGCCATGAAAATAATACCCCATTCTTCTTGTACATTTAGAAAAAGGCCCACGCCGTGCTGAAATACCGCGAGCATGAGGCACAGCAGGAGAAGATCGAGTCCAGCAGCGATGAGATCCGCAAAAAGGAGGAGGAACACCAGGCCAAGTACCGGGCGGAGCGCGAGGCCCGCCGACTGGCCGGTCGCTTTCGAATGCGTGGTGGCCAGCGGGTGAAGCAGGTGGACGACAACGAGGGCAAGCCACGGGTCAGTGTCATTATCAAGGGCGATGTTCATGGCTCTGTGGAGGCCATACTGGATGTGCTGGAGACGTACAGCAGCAATGAGAGCTGCCGATTGGATATCGTGCACTACGGCGTGGGAAATGTGACCGAAGGGGATCTCGAGTTGGCTAAGGCCTTCGATTCCATTATCTATGCCTTCGCCGTGGAAACGCCTCAGCTGAAAGGGGCCAAAGATGTGAATATACGCAGCTACAACATCATCTACCGGCTAATCGACGACCTCAAGGAGCAGTTGAGCAGCAAGTTGCCTCCAGTGGAGGTGGAGGAGGTGCTGGGCGAGGCTAATGTCCTGCAAAACTTCCTCATCAATGAGGGCCGCAAGGAAGTTCCAGTGGCGGGTTGCCGCTGCACCAAAGGAGTGCTGAAGAAGGCCCAGAAGTTCCGCCTGCTGCGGGATGGAGAAGTTGTCTACAATGGACCCCTGGAGTCAATGCGGCATCTAAAGAACGAGGTTGATACCATTAAGAAGGATGTGGAGTGCGGTTTGCGCTTCAAAGACACCAAGGTGCTGCCACAAGCCGGCGATATACTGCAGTGCTATACCACGAACATGGAGGCCCAGCAAACGGACTGGGATCCAGGTTTCTAGTTTGTATGAGCGACTTAATACGCCCTGTTATCGCCATTGTAATCTTTAGTTTTCTATTATATACTGTTTATATAAAACAATCCACTATCCGACTTCCTGTTGATCCCACTGCTGCCGCGGCCACCCTTCACCCACATGCTTAGCGTTTAGGATACCGATATACGCTGCCAGCGGAACTGGGCGGCGATAGGGGACGCTAGCATCTAGCAACTAGTGCGACAGCCAGAGAAGCGCCCCTGTCTCAGAGACGGAAGCCGCTCAAAATGGGTCATCGCATTGCTAATTGGAGTTCACCCAAACCATGGCAGTGTCCATAGCCCCATATCGACTGCTTAGAGATAGCTGACTTCCGCCGCCGAGGAGGCCTAGTAGAGCTTGGTCCTACATTCATCAATGGAAGCTTTTTATATCAGGCTCCAGCAAGCATTTATGCTTGCGAATTTGTATTATACCAAGTGCGTTCCATATTTCGCTAATCACTGGCTAGCCTTGAAAAGTGGATAATTTATTTCTGCGACTTATTAGCTAACTGGAGGGTGACTTTCCCTGGTCAGAGTCGATAAGGCCGAGTGTAAAAATAGAACATATAGCTTATATAACCGCTTATTTGGCATTTAAAACAAATGGTGCTATCGGTGCCCGGGGAATATGGTTTGGCGGACATAGTAATTTAAGAAATTCCTAATGTCGATAGTGCTAAATGTTTCTAGATGTTGCTATCCAGGGAATTTTTATTTTTGTACTCTTGAAGAGGGTATTATACTACATCGTATCGCAGTCACATATATTTTATGCTGACTTTGCGGTTATAAGCCATATATTCCGCAAAAAAAATTACCTTTTATGTTGAAAAAAAACTGCTTTTTCTGGCTAAATGTTTTTTTAACCCTAAAAGTAGTTCTACAAACTAAAATGGAAATTGTTTAAATTGGGGAGTATGATTTTTTTAACGGTGCAATGCCCTGGGAATTGCGATTATGAAACGACCTCAGGAATTCAAAAAGTTGAATTTAACATGCCAAAAAACATTACACTTTCGATATTAAGAAACATTATCACCAAGAATTCTAGTGCTCCAACGGGAATTAGAGTTGGTTGAAATTTAACGATGAGTAATACATGGGCACTTCCATAAGGTTCCAGAATTTTAAATTTGACAATAGCCTAGCTAGCCTAGCTTAGTAACATTTGATAAATGGGATTAGTCATATTTAAATTCCTAGCAATATTTAAATTCAACGATTTTGTTGCTACCCGAATATTGTAATGCATTTTTAAATTCAGATTTAAGCTCTGCTCATTTCATCTTTTGTAGACTTAATGATTGGTAAATGATTTTTATTGATTAGATATTTCACAACTAACAGAATTATGTCATCACATGTTATCATTCTTAAAGGGCAACAACTGAAGCACAGGAAAATAGGACTAAAAAACTAAAATGAATGGAAGAAAACTATTTTTGCCCATATTAACCAGCTTTTTCTTTCAATAATTTCGGAAAAGATTATCGTTTAAAATAGCCTAAAAATATGATGGAATGCGGAAATTATCGTTCAGACTCTGACTTTTTGTGAATGGGTGAATTTCATGAATGAACTCTTCAAATTTCGTGTAATCGATGCCCCAAGCGAACTGATATGCTGCAGCAATGACTCTCGTACAATGCCAGACTGCATTCTAATTATCCCACAACGGAACGGATGCCTAAATTTGTATGTGAAGCGGGCGAAAATCAGAGTAAACACATTGCACATGTGCTGGCCAGCAATTAGAGCGAAATTGAGATGGCTGGTTAGCCAGGATCTCCTCTGAAAAGGATCCCGACATGTGTTGGCCGGGCGGCTCATTAGCACCGCCGGTTGATCTTGACAGCGAGTGCAAGGCGAGAGCATGCGGAGGGCAGGCCAGTAAATCACTGCTCAACTGCGGATCGCTGGGATCGTATCGCTCCCCACACACGTGCAACGCATAAAGATCAGTGAGAGTCGCCGGGGAACCAGTTGCAGTGCTGTTGCGAAGACAACGCCACAGGCCGAAGTCTGCGAAAAGCCGCACTCGACTTTAGTCTCTAGTGGGGGCCGGTTGGCAAAGGATCACACTGGATCAAGCGGCCATAAACTTGGCAGTGTTATAGCTATATACTTCGCTGATGCACCCTGCCACGACAAGAGTTGCTACTGCAGAATCTGGAGACCCATTCAATTCGGAACGCGCGATTAGAAGGGGCGGAAGCCGTCCTCTGTGGCGCTATCGCTGTGGAGCCCAAGCTGCTGTGTATGTAGCCACGATATCGTTCTGCTGCCGCCGATCCGCTGCTGCTGCTGCTGCTGCTGCCGCTTCTGCTCTTGGCTGTGCTCCAGTGTGTGGCACTGAATTAGAGCGATCGCACACGCCCGACTCGATCAGTTGCTGGCGTGCCGTCTAACCCTGCGGATGTGTGCCGAATCGAGACGGAGAGTTCGACCTTTGGGATAGTACGCGACCGGATATATGTCCTGCGGCAATGCGCAGGCGCGAAGTGCAGAAGAATTACTGAAATTTTCAACAAGTGTGACAAGTGTGCCAGATAATTAAAACTCAAGTGGTGTTCGTCGAGTGTTAGCCACTCCAGAAGGACCAAAAGGAGCCGCGATACGCGATACACCAAACACATATATATTCGAGTGGCGAGCCGCGCAGAGTGAGGCGACCGATTATTGTGCTGTCCTCAGCAAGGAGCCGCAAAATGGATTTATCGAGGCGGCTGTGGTAAGCATCCGACAAACATGTATCCATCCATATCCATCCGAACGCGACAGATGTAGCCAGTGGCAGTGTGCAATCGTTGAAATTGATTCCCTTTGTGTTGCTAGCAAATTACTGTGTCAATTGGAATTTTAATTCCGTTTGAACTACATGGGCAAACACTTGACACGGGGCTCCCAGTTGGCTGGTGCTCCTGCTCCTGCTCCTTCCGAATGTCCTGCCACATGTGCGGATGTGGGCGTAGATGTAGATGTCCTTGCTACGTGCTACGTGCTGTGCAACAGGCGCTCTTCGCTGTTGACACTGCGCGCGACTGCCATTATCCTGGCCAGCATTTTGTTTGCATGCCAAATTACATTGCCAACTTAATTGAAGTTTGTTAATGAAAATTGCAACATTTTTCAAAGCATTTTCAAAGCCCTCCTAATGTGTTTGTGTGCGCGCCGTGATTGCTGCTCTTGCTGCCCTCTCGTCCTGGCGCAAAATGTTTCCATTAGCAATTAAGCCAGAAAGTTGTATTAAAAGTTACGGTTATTATGGTGGGATCCCTTTCGTGGAATTTAATAAATAAAATTTAATCAGTTAACGGGGATATAATGGGCCAGCAAATACCCCTTATTATTTAGCTAATTTTCGGTATGCCTAATTTCAGCAGTAATTGTTGTTGGGCCAATCGATTTCCCTTTTAACATCTCAATTTCCGGCAGCACGATGACTTCAAACAGCCACCACCCACTGCCTCAGAAATTGTGCCATTACCTCACCTGCATCTCATCGACAGGTCTCTCTGTTTCACCACCACCTCCCCTTTTGTTGGTTCTCCAAATGTGTGTGCGATTCCCCAAAAAAAAAAAAAAAAAACAAATCAAATTTTCGAATCGAAATGTAAATATTTATCCCAAAGAGTTGCGTTCGAATTGGTTGCCCAGCGTAGGTGAAGTGCGTGCGCTTTGAAGTGCCCTTTCCCCCCAAAGAAAAAAGATAGAGAAAATGAGGTGAGATGGCTGGACAGGCCAGAAGATACTTGCGAGGCAACTCACAGGCCGGTTCAAAGTTGACGGCAGAGATCTCGACGGGCCAGTTGCTCTCACGCACATGCTGGACATATCTTGGCCATAATCTCCGGCCCAGGCTGTTCTTTCTCGGCCCGATGTCTCGTTGCTGCCCCGTTGACCACAAGCGTTGCGTGCGTTTTATTTTTGGCCAAAGTCATAAAGTCCGATGCCGACACATAAAAGGCCAGAAACTCGTTCCTCGGCCAACTGGCAGTTAGCGCATCCATTCGTCAAGTTTTTTAAAGTTTTTCGCGAAAATTGTGCGTTAGCCACTTGAAAGCGAAAATCCCTCTATGTCAACAGCTGAAAGGGGAAAATCTATGGTTCGGCATTGTTCGGCATTGTTCTGTTTGGTGTACGGTGCCATGAAAATGTGGCCAACAGATGACCCATGCTGGCCATAGTTTTGGGGACATATGTGCCTGGTATCTGGGGGGACTAATCAGCATTAGCAGGAAGTCATAGTTTTTCTTAGCACAATTTCCCAATGATTTCGTTGGCTGTTCTTGAGAATTTGACAATAGTTCGAGAATAAATCGCTTGAAAATCATCTTGAAAGCGGCATTCGGCATTCCTGGGTAGGGGATCTGATCGGACGGCCTGGCCCAAGACCAACAGCCTCAAACGGGTCAACACTCAGCCCGAGTTACGTATGGCCGTCATTATGTCTGTAGTTTAATGGCACAAACTAAACGTTTTAACGCACTCGGTAAATCAGTAACCGGGTATCTTGTAGGCAGAATCTCGGCAGATGGCCCGTCTGTGTGTGGTCATTAAGTGGCCAAAATATACATTACATTAAGCGAAAATTTGTGACTCGTGACGTCTTTGAACTTGACTCCAGTTGACGCTGTTGGAGATTCGAAGATCGTCCGCAGAGAGCTACAATCCGAGAATAATTTAAACATCTCAGTCGTCTTTCTGGGGAATTAGGATGTTTTGTGTATTCAATGAAAATTCCCCATCTAAATATAAGATTTTACCTATGCTGATAAATTTTACACACACTTGGACCTCTCTGTTTGTTATGTTTTAACTATAATATTCCGCGGAAAGCACTAAACTCTGACCGGCAGGAAAATGAGTGCAACTAGAATAACAAGAACAACATCCAATTGCCCACACATAGTTGCTGGGCCAAAATGTTTATTGAGTGTGATCTGTGGCAGCCGCACTATAAACACTAAATTTCCAAAATTTATGCTTTCGAAATGATACACGCAGAGTCGGTTGCCTTGAAACTAAGAAACTAACCGACGATCTTTTGGAAAATCATGCACACACGAGTCGAGGGTAAACACTCGAATTGCATAATTGATCCTTAATAGCTATAAATAAATCAAATAATGTAAATGTTGATCTAGCGAAGTGGCTGCTTTTCGCGTGAGAGTGTGCGGATTCTGCAAAGTCTGTACTTTGTGTATGTTGTGTGGGGGGGAAAATGCCGCCAGGAAATGGCATGTGTGTGCCGGGGATGGATTTCTCGGGAATATCGAATGATGCGGCAAATGAGCAGCAAATTATGTTCAGTGCCGTTTGGACAAACGCCCCTCCTTGTTGTTGCAGTTGCAACAATCCTGCGGATCATCTCACTCCATGCCTCAATTACCTCCCAAGTTCATGGCGGCAATGTTGCACGCTGCATTTGCCACATGTGCTGGGGCTCCAAAGCGAGGACGTGGACCCCCAATGGCATGGTTAATGGTTTCGCGACAGCAGATCGGGCGATCTGCCCATCGCATTCCCATGACTTAATGTCTTATGCTTAATTAACAAAAGACTGCCGACTGGGCGGCTGTTAATTATGCCATAGTCCACAGCTAAATCGGCTAATAATGTGTGAGATGGAAATAGTGTTGTTCGTTATTCGTAATAAAACTAAAACTCACAGATACAAACGCACACAATCGGATCGATCAGTTGCAGACGAGGTCGTCGCACCCTGCAAACGCGGAAGATAAAAAGGATGCCCCAAAATATGCCGCCGCTAAAATTGCAGAGGCCGAACAAGATACAAAATACAGAAAGCAAAAAGCAAAAAAATAACGAAGAGCAGCCACGGCATGACTGCAAAAATATCCAAAAACTCTGCAGATCCAACAAGGAGGCAGATTCAAACGATGCGTCACATGCAGTAAAATATGCCTAAAAAGTTCTGTCTGAAACGGGGAGCCACTGACCGAATGAAAAAAAAACAGAAATCGGGGGGGCATATAGCAACAAGTGAAAAATTCGCCGTCAGCCAAAACCGAAAAAAACGAATGAAAATAAAAGCCATAAAAATGTTTTGGTGAAGGGGAGGACAGGCGACGATCGGTTTGCAGGGGTGTTTCTTGGGAACGTGATGCGCATCGTGATGACAGCAAATGAACCGAGTGCAGGCCAAATTGATAGCCCTTCGAGGGTCAGGGACGTAGCCCTTTCTCGACTTCCGATTGCCAGTGTACGTACCTCAAACTGGCAGTTGGAATCTGTAAAACGCAAGGAAGCTACACTCCTTCTACCAGTAAAACTGACAAGTAAAACAATTGAACGAACCAACCCGTAATTGCACTATAAATCAATGTCTGCTCCACATTTTATCCGCCAGGTACTTGCTGACATGATAGCATTTAACCCAATTGCCTGGGTTACCATTTCATTTGAAGGCTGTTATAAATAACTGAAATTCATGTGCGTCAAGCATGGGAGTTGTTCATTGTTTATTTTAAATTTGAACATCGGGCTCTTTCCGAGAACAGGTTGTGGAAATAAAGACAGATATTTCTATTAAGCATAAGTAATGAGCAATTTAATTACTTTCTGAATTCTCTTGTTGAGTTGGCAAAGCTAAAATTCCTATAAAAAGTAGTATTTCCAAAAATACTTTTTGTTTCTCAAAAAACTCGGACGCGTTTATTTACGTAGCCGTGTTTTTTATACCTTAAGAATAGTTCAACGCTAATTAAGTGCTGAAATATTCCAGCTCATTTGGCATCCTGTGATTTCTCTTTTTTTTTTATCACGAGTTGGCGCTAAAATGTTTACACGGAGACCTGATTAATAATCCCCATTGGCTGAGGTGGGGTCAAAGTTCGAAAGGGTGCAAAAGTGGATGTTTCTAGGCCGATAAGCGTTTTCCCCCTTACGAGTGCTATTAGCCATAAGTGAAGTCAAGCAGCTTGTTGCAATCTCGAACCGAATGAGTTGGGCAAATAGGGAATTGCCAATGTTTGTGTGTGTAATGGGGGGAGGGGGAGGGGGTGGAGAGATCTTTGAGGATGGGAAATCGCGACAGCGGCATTATGATGCCTCTAATTAGCTGCACTGCACTGTTGATGCTCTTGCGGCCGATGGTTCTTGCAGCAGCCTCCATCCACACTCACGCTGCAAGTGGCTGGTGCAAACATTGGGCCATAAAAATTTGTTTACAACTCACACATTTCGCTGCCGCCGTTGACAGTGAGTGAAATTTATGGGTCAGTAAGTTGGCAGAGTGAAACGCACAGGGAAACTCTTTCCCTTTCAGTCCTAGTGTATCTGTGACTGGGCTTAAATGTGCATTCTGTTTGCTCATTTGCTCTGCTCATTTGGGCAAACGCGTGGCAAATATTTCATTAGGCATTTGAGCAAACTTTGTTGCGCCTTGCCTTTTGGCCCCAAAAGCACAATTGCAACTTTGTAGGCAGTAGAATGTTGCATAATCTCCAGCATTGCTTTGTGTCTGCATTTCGTAAACACTTCGGGGCACAGGCGTATGTTTATTATTTTCACTACTCAATTAAGTTAAATTAATTTCGAAATTGATAATTGCTCGGCCAGGCTGTGCAAGTGTTTGGCTGCCAGTCAAAATGGCAGCAGCCTGAATTTGCCATTGCAGCTAGGGTAAAATGGGACTCCCCATCTCTGTGTGCGTTGCTTTATGCAAATGCAATTAAAATTTCAACAATGCAAACATTTACTTCCGTTGCAACAAATGTCGTCGTCCCACCACCAGCCCGCATCTTCATAGAGTCATCATCATCATCACCAGAGCTTTGGCAGCGGCAGCATCCAGTATCCAGTATCCAACATCCAACATCCAGCATCACGGCAACATGAACATTTACCTGGCCGCACCTCAGCCACAATTTGGCGTTTTGCATTAGTCTGGGTTTGTCTTGCGATAATTGTATGACTATGTAATTGTATTTGAACAAACGGGTGTCACACATTTGCACGTATCCTTCCGTCTAATGAGCTCGATCTGTGGATAATTGCTGCCTGGTATTTTGCAACCGAATGTAACTCTCTAACGAAGCTGATTGGGACCTAAATGCACTCAGAAAAAAAGAAGAGTGTTTTTTTTCTGGCATTTAAATAAGCTAACCTTTTAATCTTCTAACAGCTTAACTCGGAATTTGTATATAGTTTATCTTAACTAAGAACCGGAAGCTCTGAAATTAATCTTCTTTTGCGAAAACTAAAATTATTTATTCAAACAAAGATTTTACTCGACCTAAGACCAAATGGTATTATTTCTGGAATTATCTGTTTCCTGTTAGTGATTATTGTACATGAGGCTAATTCATAAAAAATATATCGTTATTCATTTTCGGAGTTACGAATTGAGCGATATTTTGAAAAATGATACGGCAAGGGAAACAAAAAATGTGTGTATGATATAAATTTTCTTTCCGTGTAAGGGGGGTGCATTTATACGCACTTTCTGTTTGCTGCAATTAAATCAGTTGGCCTGCCTGCATCAGAAATTCCTTTCGTTCTTTACAATCAACATAAAAAGGCGAAAGGGGCCAGCAGAAGTCAAACGGTTGCAGCTGGGCATTCCATCTTCATCAAAGGGCCCCGGGCTGTGGCATCCATCCTCGTGGATATGCAGCTCAAATGTTGCATGCCCCAGCCATTCGATTGGCTTGATGGGCAACTCCTCTGCATCTCTCGCCTTGATCAATTGGCATGGGAAAGCAAAATGAGCAACCAATGATCACTCCTTTCTACAAGTGGGTGGGAATGAAGTGGGGAGATTCTAGTTACTCGACCTCGCGGATGAGTCATGTAAACAAATCCAACGTCGGTTCTCAATGGTCAGGTGTGAAATCTGGTCAGAATTTATTTGTGTTTCTGAGGCAATTGTTTGGATTTCGACTGGCCATACACATATTGTTTTTGGTTAGCTTGAGATTCCTTTTTGTTTGGCATAAATTGTAATTTGTTTTCGGTCTTGAGTTTGGCGGCTAAGTGCACGCACTTGTGGAGTAAGTGCCGCTGATAATGTTGTTGTTGCGGCTCATTACTGGGCGCTTTATTTACGATGGTCATTGCAACACTTTACACAGAGAAAAATATATTTTGTTCTTAACAGAAAAACGACTAATATTAATTTCATTGTACCAGAACTTCTGCTGTCCTCATCAAAACTCATAGGGTTCTAGTCTCTTTAAGATTGGAAAAGTTCTTGAAATAGCAGTATTACTGTATTAAAAGTTCATCAGAAATGAATGCATTTTTCTCTGTGCATCTGGTATTCTACCCCAGAATGCACTTGTTGCGTGGAAGGCATTTGAAAGCAATTACACGATCGTGAATATCTCTGGCATGGATGCGGAGTGAATATCTTTTAGCTACTTGGTCTGGAGAGAGTGCATATCTGTGGCCTGAATTTGCATCCATGCAGCATTTGTTCAAGTTGACTGATAATGGCTGCAATTGTGGAGCAGCAATGTAAAAGGGAGCATTTCTCTGCACACTCTCGCTGCATCTATGCAGTGATTGCCCCTTAAAGCATTATCACCGCTTAGAGCGACGGTTGCTGCAACCCAGCGATATGCCTTTGTAATGCGGCGCACAATGAACAATGGGCGGCTATTGTGGGACTATTTCTGGCCAGAAAGGCAATGCGACCCGTTAATTGGACCCCTTAGACTCTCAGCTTTGATCTCGCCTGCCGGCCAACTAAATCCTGGCCACTAAATGGGGTCAGGGATTGGGGAGCGACACTAGCTGGCACTGTGTTATTGTAAAGTTTCCTCCGAATTTAGCATTTCCTCTGTGTTTTGTTTGACATTGCTGTGGCGGCATTCGGTGGTTCCCATGACATGTGTGTAACTTATTTGACGATTGCGCCAACTGTTTGTGCTAGTGTCACGTGGCATCCGCCGCATGTGGCAATAACAATGTTGTTTCCCACACCCACATATCCGCACTTATTCGGGATACCCGGGTTCCGAGGATTTTGCGTAATCAGCAGTCGCGTATGAAATCGAAATCAAGAACTCAGTGCTCTTGCGGTTTTTGCCGCCTCAGCGGTTTCCTTGGAACTGCCCAATTAATGGAGTTCGTCCTGGCCAGGGCGGTATCCGGTTTGCATGACGCAATGCCGGGGAAGGAGGCGACTGGCAGACGCCGCCCCCTGCCCTTTGGCCTGCCAGCTCAATGGACTGTGAAATGTGTGCCGTTGTCGGTTGTCGCTTGTCGGTGCCCGTTGTCCTTGCCAAAGCAATAGGTGTCCTGGCATTGGTTTCAAAAGGGAAATGCGCTCGAAATTGCATTAAAATGCCAACACAGAAGCATAAAAATTATGGCCACACTTGGCGCCCAGCCCTCCAGCATTCTTCGTGTTCTGCGGCTGTCATAAGCAGCACGCCTGCTGCGGCAAGCCCAGGACCAAGGACCAAGAGGATGTCCTCCGAGAAGTGGGGGAGGGGGGAGGGGAGGGGGGCGAGCGCCATCAGTCGGAGGCGTCGAAGCGGAACGAACCGAGAGGCTCCCCGCACGCAGCTTCAGAAATTAAATTGGCAAGCCCCCAACAAAAAGGGGATGTGGATGCAGGGCGAGGCAAGCGCGTTGCCTGCAACATTGAACGCCTTTGACATATTCACGCAACTTGTCCTCGGGCGGCAAAACGACGACGTCCTCCTTGGGAAAAGTTCGGAAGTCGCAGTCAGGAATTCGGCGGCGTCGAATTGTCTGCGGCATAATCGTATATTCTCGCTGGCTTCGGTACTTATTATTTGCTTGGTTCTGTCCTTCTTTCGTTTTGGCAAATCGGCAGGAAGCCCTGCTAAATTATGTCTTGTTTATGTGGCATTGCATATTTATGGTCCGTGCGCGCGGCGCATAATAAAAAATTGTTACCAAAGAAATTGCAAATTTTACTTGACCAAGTCCCATTCTTTTCGCCATTCCCCCTCATGTCCCCCCATCTTGCAGTTGCAATACCAATACCACCGCTGCATTTAGCCGCAAAAACAAGTTCAATGTTTGCTTGCTCTGGCCAGCGAGCATAAACAAGTTCATCATGTTGTCGCCGCGAAGCCCCACAAAAGTTTGTTTGTGCCCCTTCGCTGGACGCGGCTGGGTCTTTTGAGAAAGTCCCAACCGAAGTTGGTCCCTCCTCCACCGTTCCCAGCCTGTTGCTTCTCTAATGAGTCTGAGCACTCGTGTGTTCACAAGCAGAGTCAACAAATATATATGTGCAACAAGTCAACACGTGACTGCGGTCCCATGATTTTAATGAATGGCCGAGTTGGGCGAGGTTATGTCTGGGTGGCGTTTTATTAAGTCGCCTTCTCCGCTTTCCCTTTGCAGCTCAACTGCCTTGGTAGCATTCATTGTTCTGGCCGGCATCCACGATTCCCAGAGCAGATTCGTAAGTATGCCCGATGGTATCCTGCCGGGACAAACGGCTAATCCACTGAACCCCTTTTTACAGCATGGATCAAGACAAAAAAGACAATATGGCGCGAACTTGTATTTGCCGGAGAGCTCTGTGACGCCCGACGGCGAGGGCGACAATCCGAATGAGTGGACTGTGTGGAGCTCACCCTCTGACTGTTCCCGAACCTGCGGCGGAGGAGTGTCCTACCAGACGCGAGAGTGTCTGCGCAGAGAGTGAGTATTCAGGATCCAAAGACCATTTAATTAGAAACCTGTAGAGAAATAAATCCAGTACTACGTGTCTACCATATACCTTCTTTTTTTTTTTCGTTATATTTAATTCAAATATGTTTTTCAGTGCCTATGGCGAGGCAGTTTGCAGTGGAGGCAGTCGTCGCTACTTCTCCTGCAACACTCAAGACTGTCCGGAGGAGGAACCCGACTTCAGGGCGCAGCAGTGCTCCCGCTACGATAACCAGAAGTTCGATGGCATCATCTACGAGTGGGTGCCGTACACCAATGCGCCCAACCCGTGCGAGCTGAACTGCATGCCCAAGGGGGAGCGCTTCTACTATCGCCAGCGGGAGAAGGTGGTGGACGGAACCCGGTGCAATGATAAGAGCTTCAACGTGTGCGTGAATGGCGAGTGCCTGCCGGTGGGCTGCGACATGATGCTGGGCAGCGATGCCAAGGAGGACAAGTGCCGCAAGTGTGGCGGCGATGGCAGCACCTGCAAGACCATTCGCAATACCATCACCACCAAGGACCTGGCTTCCGGCTACAATGACCTGCTGCTCCTGCCAGAGGGCGCCACCAATATTCGCATCGAGGAGACGGAGCCGTCGAGCAATTATCTGGCCTGTCGCAACCTCAGTGGACACTATTACTTGAACGGCGACTGGCGGATCGACTTCCCGCGCCCTATGCTATTTGCCAACTCCTGGTGGAATTATGAACGCAAGCCCATGGGTATGGCGGCTCCCGATCAGCTGACCTGCAGCGGCCCCATCTCCGAGAGCATCTTCATTGTGATGTTGGTGCAGGAACGAAATGTCAGCCTTGACTACGAGTACAGCATCCCGGAGTCCCTCAGTCACTCGCAACAGGATACGCACACGTGGACACACCACCAATTCAGCACCTGCAGCGCATCCTGTGGCGGTGGCACTCAGAGTCGCGTGGTGACCTGCAACAACCGCATCACCCTGGCGGAAGTCAACCCGGCACTTTGCGATGATAAATCCAAGCCCGTCGAGGAACAGGCGTGCGGTACGGAACCTTGCGCTCCCCACTGGCAGGAGGGAGAGTGGTCCAAGTGCTCCAAGGGCTGCGGATCGGATGGCTTCCAGGAGAGAAACATCACTTGCGAGCGCATCTCGTCTTCAGGGTAAGTTATACTTCCTAGTACCAGAATGTATTGCTTGGGAAAAGGAATCTCCTCAAACTCTTCATCCACCAATTCAGCACCAATTTCTGTATTCATGAAATTCAATCTGCGTTTTGTTTATTTCAGCGAGCATACCGTTGAAGAAGATGCAGTTTGCCTGAAGTTGGTGGGTAACAAGCCGGCTACCAAACAGGAGTGCAATCGCGATGTTAAGAACTGTCCCAAGTACCATCTGGGTCCTTGGACGCCATGTGATAAGCTCTGCGGCGAAGGCAAGCAGACGAGGAAGGTGACCTGTTTCATTAAGGAGAACGGACGCAAGCGCGTCCTGCCCGAAGAAGATTGCGTGGAGGAGAAACCAGAGGTGGAGAAGACCTGCCTGTTGACGCCTTGTGAGGGTGTTGATTGGATCATCTCGCAATGGAGCGGTGTAAGTATTGCAGTTGCTTATCATGCCGTCACACGCTAAATTCCATTGTCCTGCAGTGCAATGCATGTGGCCAGAACACGGAGACACGTACCGCCATCTGTGGCAACAAGGAAGGTAAGGTATATCCCGAGGAGTTCTGCGAGCCAGAGGTGCCCACTCTTTCCCGACCTTGCCAATCGCCCAAGTGTCAGGCGCAGTGGTTCTCCTCGGAATGGAGCAAGTGCTCAGCTGCATGTGGCAAGGGTGTTAAATCTCGCATTGTCATCTGCGGGGAGTTCGATGGCATGACAGTGACTCCGGCTAGTGATGACTCGAAATGTGATAAGGCAACGAAACCAGAGGCGGAACAGGAATGCGAGGGCGAGGAGAAGGAATGTCCCGGCGAATGGTTCACTGGACCTTGGGGCAAGTGCAGCAAACCTTGCGGTGGAGGTGAGCGCGTTCGCGAAGTCCTGTGCTTATCCAATGGAACAAAGGCCGCAAACTGCGACGCAGAAAAGGTCGAATCTCCATCGGAGAAGTGTAATGCAGAAGCCTGCACTGAGGATGAGATATTGCCCCTGACTAGCACCGATAAACAAATCGTCGAGGATGACGAAGAAGACTGTGATGAGGATGGTATTGAGCTGGTCGACGATACCTTACCGAAAACTGATAAGAGCGCCGATATTATCGATTTCGACAAATCGTCCACAGAAACCACACCTGAGGATGAAGATCAAATGCAAAGTGACAGCCCGACTCCCTACGATTCGTCTGATTCGACTGGTACCACCGTTGAGGGATCCGGAGATGAGTCTGATTCAACTACCGACAGCGGAATTTCCACAGAAGGAAGTGGTGATGATGAAGACACTTCTTCTACCGATTTGATCAGCTCGACAACTGCCGATTCCAGCTCCAGTGACTCCAGCTCTGGAATTTCCAGCGATTCGACATCTGAAGCTCCATCTTCTGTCTCCTCTGAAGGCACGGAATCTTCTGGTGGCTCCACTGATGCCTCAAGCTCAACGGAAGCGTCCGCCTCGGACTCTACTGACGTTTCAAGCACTACAGATACTTTAGGATCAACTGATGCTTCAGGATCTACTGATGCTTCAGGATCTACTGATGCTTCAAGTTCGACTGATGCTTCAAGTTCTACTGATACTTCAGGTTCTACTGATGCTTCAAGTTCTACTGATATTTCAAGTTCAACTGATATTTCAAGTTCTACTGAGGCTTCAAGTTCTACTGATGGTTCAGAATCTACTGATACGTCAGGATCTACTGATGCTTTAGGCTCAAGTTCCACAAATGACTTAACTGAATCCTCTGATAAATCAACTGACGCTAATGAATCTTCAACAGAGGCTTCATCGTCATCTGTCTCTGATTCTTCGGACACTACAGATAGCACAACTAACGATAGTTCCTCAACAGAATCTTCAGTTTCTACCGACTCCTCTTCACAAGATACAACCGAAAGTACTTCTGAGTCCTCAACTGATTCCACAGAATCCTCAACTACTGAAGATTCTTCTACCAGCGATTCTTCGACAACAGATAGTTCTACTTCGTCTTCCACCTCTAATTCGGAGGCTACTGACGATGACTCAACCACAGATGCTAGCACTGCTGATGGTTCCACTGACGGCTCCACTGATGGCTCCACTGATAGCTCCACTGATGGCTCCACTGATGGCTCCACTGATGGCTCCACTGATGGCTCCACTGATGGCTCCACTGATAGCTCCACTGATGGCTCCACTGACAGCTCCACTGACGGCTCCACCGACGGCTCCACTGATAGCTCAACTGACGGAAACACTGAAAGCACCTCTGACAATACATCTGCCAAAAGCACTGACGTTAGCTCCAGTGAGGGTTCAACCACTGATGGCACTACCGTCGAGGAGCTGTCCAGCTCCACAGACTCAGCTTCCACTGACGTTTCTGGTTCCACAGAAGCAACTGAGTCCTCTGCCTCCACAGATGGTTCCTCTACTGACGTCTCCTCTACAGATGGCTCTATCACTGATGCTTCCTCCACAGATGGTTCATCCACTGAGGCTTCCTCCACAGACGGCTCCACGCCTGAGGCCTCCTCCACAGATGGTTCGTCCACTGAGGGTTTCTCTACAGATGGTTCTTCCACAGATGCAACTGACTCCACTGAAAGTGGCCCAACCGAGGAGAGTACTACGGAAGGAACGACTGACAGCACAACCGAGGGATCCACAGACAGCTCCCAGTCTACAGATCTTGATAGCACTACCAGTGATATCTGGAGCAGCAGTGACAAAGATGACGACTCGGAGTCCAGTACACCTTACTCCTTTGTGTCTGAAGTTACCAAGGGCAAGCCACGAAAGTGTAAGCCTAAGAAGAGTAGCTGCGCTAAGTCTGAGTACGGTTGCTGTCCGGACGGTAAGTCCACTCCCACGGGACCCTTCGACGAGGGCTGTCCCATTGTCAAGACCTGTGCCGACTCAGAGTACGGTTGTTGTCTGGACGGAGTGTCTCCGGCTAAGGGCGAAGACCACAAGGGTTGCCCCAAGTCGCAGTGTGCGGAAACCCTCTTCGGCTGCTGCCCCGATAAATTTACACCTGCCATTGGTGAGGACGATGAGGGATGTCCCGAAACAACCACCGTTCCGTCCACAACCACCACAGAGGAGTCACAGCCTGAGACAAAGTCGGAGTCAAGTACGGAGCTGGAAGGATCAGGGGAGGACTCGACGACACCTGAGTCAGAGACCACCAACAAGTCATGCTCCTTTTCCGATTTCGGATGCTGTCCCGATGGCGAAAAGCCCGCCAAGGGCAAGGACTTCGAAGGCTGTCCTGATGAGCCACAAGTCGCCAAGGGCTGCGACCAGTCGGATCACGGTTGCTGTCCAGATGGACGAACTCCAGCCAGCGGTCCCGATTACCAAGGGTGCTCTGCCTGCATGCGCGAACGCTTTGGCTGCTGTTCGGATTCAGAGACAGCGGCTCACGGTCCCAACCAAGAGGGCTGCTGCCTGGACACTGATTTTGGCTGCTGCCCCGACAACATCTTGGCCGCCCGAGGACCCAACTTCGAGGGCTGCGACTGCCAATACACGCCCTATGGTTGCTGTCCGGACAAAAAGTCGCCCGCCCAGGGCTACAACGACAAGGGATGTGCCTGCGAGACGACACAGCATGGCTGTTGCCCCGACAAGATCACTGCTGCCACGGGACCCCAGTTCGAGGGCTGCCCCTGCGAGACCACCCAGTTCGGATGCTGTCCCGATGGACTCACATTCGCCAAGGGACCCCATCAGCACGGATGCTACTGCACCCAGACGGAATTCAAGTGCTGCGAGGACGAAAAGACCCCGGCCAAGGGACCCAACTTCGAGGGCTGCACCTGTGTGGAGAGCAAGTTCGGCTGCTGTCATGACGGAGTTACCAAGGCGACGGATGACAAGTTCGGCGGATGCGAGAAAATCCCGGATCCACCGCAGAAGGCCTGCGGTCTGCCTAGCGATAGGGGCAACTGCAGCACCTACAGCGTCAAGTACTTCTTCGACACCAAGTACGGCGGATGCGCTCGGTTCTGGTATGGTGGCTGCGGCGGCAACGACAACCGATTCGAGAGCGAGTCCGACTGCAAGCAGACCTGCCAAGACTACACCGGCGAGAACGTCTGTCTGCTGCCCCAGAACAGCACCGGTCCCTGCACCACCTTCAAGAAGAAGTGGTACTATGACGCGGAACGCAACAGTTGCGAGGAGTTCCAGTACGGCGGATGCTTCGGCACCAATAACCGTTTCGATACCCTTGCACAGTGCCAGGGAACTTGCAATGCCGGATCGAATCTTCGTAAGTATAGCTCTGTTTTCCTTAAATGGATTCCACTTAGTAATCTTATTAATAATAATATCAATATTTTATACGACTGAACTATGAATTGAACTATGTTGCATTTTCAATAGTTTAAAAAGCACTTATCCAACTCATCTATTCGCATTGCAGCAACCTGCGAACAGCCAGTGGAGAGCGGACCGTGTAATGGAAACTATGAACGTTGGTACTACGACAACCAGACCGACGTCTGCCGGCCCTTCACCTATGGAGGATGCAGGGGCAACAAGAACAACTACCCGACGGAACATGCCTGCAACTACAACTGCCGCCAGCCGGGCGTGCTTAAAGGTTTGAGATCTGATTTAGTATGTTGCGGTGTCTTGTATTGGTTAATGGGTTTAGTTGTAAGCAATTTGTTGCTTGGGCCTATGATTAGTTTTAAGTTTGAACCTCTTTGTCTATCCTGGTTAACGGTATGTTTTTCCACACTTTCCTTCTCCCCAAAAAAAATGGCTTGGTTACTTCTTTAATTGTATGTGCATGACTGCTTGCTACTTGCTATACCGACTTTCTGAATGTGCTCCCGCAACCGAATCTCCTCCCGCACCCACCGTTACCATCCCACCACCACCACCCCAGATTACTGTGCGCTTCCTAAGCAAACTGGTGATTGCAGCGAAAAGCTGGCCAAGTGGCACTTCTCCGAAAGCGAGAAGCGCTGTGTGCCCTTCTACTACACGGGTTGTGGTGGCAACAAGAACAACTTCCCCAGCCAGGAGTCCTGCGAGGACCACTGCCCCCGGCAAGTTGGTAAGCTTTAAATGTTGTCTGCCCTGGCGGCTGCTTTCAATGTGTTTGCATTTGGTCCCCCCGAATCACCTTGCCTAATTGACACTCTACCCCCATTCACCCAACCAGCCAAGGACATCTGTGACATACCTGCCGAGGTGGGAGAGTGTGACAAGTACACCAACCTCTGGTACTACGACACCAAGGATCAGGCCTGTCGCCAGTTCTTCTACGGCGGCTGCGGTGGCAATGAGAACCGCTTCCCCACGGAGGCGTCCTGTTTGGCGCGCTGCGATCGCAAGCCCGAACCGACGACCACCACCCCCGTGCCCCAACCACCTTCAAGCCAGCGGGACATCTGCGATGAGGATCCAGCTCCTGGTGAATGCAGTGACTGGCAGGTCAACTGGCACTTTGATCGAAATGCTGGCGCCTGTCGTCGGTTCCACTACGGAGGTTGTGGCGGCAATGGCAATCGCTTCGAATCGGAGTCGGATTGCGAGCGGCGCTGCAACAGGCAACTACGTCCTGCCCCGACTTCTGCCCCTGCTCAAGCCCCACCTCGATCAGATGTTAGCCAGTGTAATCAGCCTGCTGATCCGGGTGCATGCGATAAATGGGTTTCCAAGTGGAACTACAACGCGAGTGCGGGTGTCTGCCAGTCGTTCTGGTATGGAGGTTGCGGCGGCAATGATAACCGCTTTGATTCCCTGGAGGATTGCTCTACTCGCTGCTCTCCCAATGTAGACGTTCGCTTTGGTGAACCAGAACCGGAGCCCCAACCGGAACCCCAGCCGGAACCCGAACAGGAACCCGAGCTGGAACCGGAGGATCCTGTCGAGGAACCCCGTCCTGACACGTCCAAGTGCTTCTTGGCATCCGAGCCGGGCAACTGCTTGGGCAACGAGACCCGCTGGTACTACAATAGTCAAGAGGGACTCTGCGACGAGTTCGTCTACACGGGATGCGGCGGTAATGCCAACAGCTATGCCACCGAGGAGGAGTGCCAGAACGAATGCAGTGACGCCCAGACCACCTGTGCTCTGCCCCCTGTCCGCGGACGGTGCAGTTACCTCTCCCGACGCTGGTACTTCGACGAGCGCAGCGGTCGATGCCACGAGTTCGAGTTCACCGGATGCCGCGGCAACCGCAACAATTTCGTTTCGGAGAACGAGTGCCTCAGCTTCTGCCGGGGTGGACCTCCAGTGGAACCCGAGCCACAGCCACCAGCACCGGTAAGAATTTTAGTGTGTCACCACGTTTCTAACTAAGCATAGAAGATGTTCTGCCGGCGCTTTTGGCTAAGAATTTTGGTCTTAAGCAGTGGATAACCATTGCTAACATAGGAAAGAGCAGCTAATGCCCCACATACCAATGGAATGAAAACATGTCTCGAAATAAGTTTCTTCTTAATCATTTCATCCATTGGAAGATCCATTACCAGAAATATTCTTAGTATAACTATGATAATATGTTACTACAACTTTTTTAAATATCTCTACAGACCTATTCAGTGTGCACCCTGCCAGCGGAGGCGGGCGAATGTGACAACAGCACCATGGCGTGGTTCTACGACACCGAGAACATGGCCTGTACGGCCTTCTCCTACTCCGGATGCGGAGGAAATGGAAACCGCTTCGAGACGCGCGACCAATGCGAGCGGCAGTGCGGAGAGTTCAAGGGAGTGGGTAAGTTTGGTCTGGGCTTGGGTACTTGTTTCAGGTGCTAAAATTTTTGTGTCAGACGTTTGCAATGAGCCAAAGACGCAGGGTCCCTGCACTAATTGGCAGACCCGGTACTACTTCAACGTCCTGAGCCAGGCCTGCGAGCCGTTTACTTATGGTGGATGCGATGGCACCGGAAATCGCTTCAACGATTTGTACGAATGTCAGGCAGTTTGCATAGCCGGCCGCGAACCGACGGTGGGTTCGGCTAAAGGTAAAATACAGGGGGGAGGGGGTTTCATCATGAGTCGTTGGGCTAACTGGTTCTTCTATTGCGTAAGTAGAAATCTGCATGCTGCCTTTGGAGATGGGCCAGTGCACTGGACCTTCGGTGCAAGAGCGCCGTTGGTACTACAACGACGAGCAAGGAAACTGTATGTCCTTCATTTACGCGGGTTGCTCGGGCAACCAGAACAACTTCCGAACCTACGAGGCATGCACGAACCAATGCCGACGTAAGCCACTTTTGTTCCACAGAGCACTCAGCACTCAGCACCTCTGCACCTCAAATCCACAAATCCACCCAACCACGAATGCACCTTGCTCACACCCAAACCGCTTGTTTTCGTAGAAAATTTTGAAGTAGCATTTGTAGTTAGCGATTAAAGCACTTTCACTAGACCTAAGATTGCACGGGTATCTTGGGATGGAATAGCTCTCTCGCGAAACTAACATAACTGAATGGTAATCTGCTCCTCTTCCAGCCGAAACCAATGATTTGGACAATGGAATTGGAAGCAACCCGTGCGATTCATACGATGCCAATTGTCGGGAACTTAGCTGTCCGTATGGCATTCGCCGTGAGGCTGTCCAATCTCAGCCAGAGTGCACGCAGTGCGTCTGCGAGAATCCGTGCGAGGGATACAACTGTCCCAGAGGCCAGCAATGCGCCGTCGAGGAGGCCACACCCGATGGTCGCCAGTTTGCCCCAGTCTGCCGCGACATTAACAAGCCCGGCGAGTGTCCAGCTCTACAGGCCAATGCCAGTAACTGCGCCCTCGAATGCTACACTGATGCCGACTGCATTGGCGACAAAAAGTGCTGCAGCGATGGCTGCGGTCACCTTTGTCTGCCTCCCACTCGACCCACCTTGCCGCCCACCACTCACGCCCCCGTGGTCGTCTATCCGGGTGATATTAGGGCCACTCTGGAGCCCAAGCAACCACAAGAGCTGGCTGTCCAGACTTCCATCGGCGGCATTGCCGTGCTGCGGTGCTTCGCCACCGGTAACCCGGCTCCGAACATCACTTGGTCGCTCAAGAACTTGGTGGTAAGCTATCGAAAGAGATCCCCTAACCTACCCTCATCTCTACCCTCCCCATCCTTATCCTCTTTTACAGATCGACACAAACAAGGGCCGCTACGTCCTGACCCCCAACGGTGACTTGACCATTGTCCAGGTGCGACAGACCGACGATGGCACCTACGTCTGCGTGGCCACTAATGGCCTAGGAGATCCGGTGCGACGTGAGGTTCCTCTCCAGGTTACAGGTGCGTTCTTACATTCTTTTTTAATGTTCTGTTTGGCATCGTTACTAAATGGCATGATTATTTATTGTTTAAAGAGCTTTACGTTATAATTATTTAAAAAATGTAAAAGTCTTTGTTTAGCTTAAATTTGTTGGTCACATTTTTACCAAACTGGTAAGGCCCATCCACATTGTCTTATGAAAAATTTTAATAAGTGAAAGATGTCATCCTCGCTGGTTTAAAAACTTTTAAACAACATTTAAAATACCCCATGCAGTGGTTAAAAAAACGATTATGTCTTATTAACGAGAGCATTATAGTTGGCTTACCAACTATGCTTTTGCTAAAACTATATTTATATTTGGTGATGGCTATTTAACTAACTGCTTTGTATTGCACACTGCTCGCATGTTGCCTGCTTTTTGTAACCCATCCTTATAACTTGGTGATGGTAGAGGCCGTAAAACTCCCCGCCTACATTCACGGTGACAAGAATGTAACCCAGATCGTGGAGCTGAACCGTCCGGCAGTGATTCGCTGTCCGGCCGGAGGCTATCCACAACCGCACGTCAGCTGGTGGCGCAATGGACAACAGTTTGGCCTGAGGAATAACCTTATGGCCCGTGACTACTCGCTGGTCTTCAACTCTATTCAGTTGAAGGACCTTGGCCCTTACACTTGTGAGGTGTACAACCAGCGGCGTCCCGTTTCGCTGCACGTCACCCTGAAGGCGGTGGGTCCTGTCCGGGCTTTCGGCGACGAGGAGTCCCGATACCTGCAGTATGTGCTGGATCCGGCCATCCGTCCGGTGACCCAGCGACCCCGCTATCCCTACCGACCCACTCGCCCGGCCTATGTGCCTAATCCCACTGGTAAGTAGTGCATTTGCATGTTTCGGCTGGCTTGGCATGGTGGTTGAACTGTTTATTGGGGGCAAGCTTTTATGAAGATGGAAATAATGCTTTCTTGATTTGATTCACAGTTAATGCACATGCCGTGTTGGCTCTGGATCCCAAGAACAGCTACACAACTGGCTCAACCATTGTCATGAGCTGCTCCGTGCAAGGCTATCCGGAACCCAATGTCACTTGGACCAAGGACTACACGCCTCTCTACGAGAACGAGCGCGTTCAAATTACATGTGAGTGGTGCCTCTTTTTGAAGCAAAGTATTAAAGATACTCTTAAAGTAAAGAGAAATGTTTTTAGGCGCTATATAAATATTCGATCTAGACTTATTAATACAAAAAACATTTTTCAAATCGAAAATATAGCTTATAGCTTAACCACCCAACGTTAAAGCTAAGCGCAACACCCTTTTTCTTTGTCGCGCTAATATAATTGCAAGTGGTAACAGTGTAAAGGGTATTTGATAGTCTCGACTTTTCTTGTTTTATTTAAAACTCTGTTAAAAACCGTAAACGTATCATTTACAGCCCAGCCACATCGTCTCATAGTGAATGGTGTGACCCCCGAGGACGCGGGCAGGTATGCCTGCAGGGCCAGCAATGCCTACACGTACGCCGACGCAGAAGCAAATGTTTCCATTCAATGTAAGTTATTAGATAGTTTCAAGATGATTCTTGAGGTTACTAAAAATTATTATTATTATTGCAGCTGTTTTACCTGTTTCGCCGGAGTGCGTGGACAGTCCGTTCTTTGCCAACTGCAAGCTGATCGTGAAGGGTAGATACTGCAACAATGCATACTACATAAAGTTCTGCTGCCTGTCCTGCACATTGGCGGGCTTTGCACCCGCGGCTCCTCATCCCAATGCGGTATAATTCCACATACCGGGCACACAGAGAGCAGAGTATTTTTGTTTGATTTTCGCATTGAATTGAGTTTAAAGTTGAAACGCACCACCACACAAGAATAATTGGATCGACACTCCCGGAGGACATTCAAAATCATTCAAAAGCAGAGAGACCAAAAAGCCAACCGTTGCTTAGCCATAACCATAGCCTAAAGATCAAGAACGAACGAACGTCTAATGTAGTATTTACTCTCTTCCAGAACAAAAGAAAATAGTATTAGTGTTTTTATGTTTGTGTTCCTATTTATTCTTGATTACGAGTAACGTTAAATTCAATCGAGGAAAAAAAGCGGCTAAAACGAATTTGTATTCTACTTTTTAGTTTCTACGACTACATTTCTGTGCAACGAGTAAAGCATTTAAGCCTAAAACTAATAATTGTAAATAAATTAAAACTACATAATAAAGAGTGCATATGTACAAAAGACTTTCGGGGGATGACCCACGATTTGAACAGGCCACAATATCTGGCAACGCTGTTGGGAAAAGGGGTTTATTGATTTTCCCCAGCTTTTCCGCAGCAGCTGTTTTCTCGAGCCTGCGCTTTGCACCCTGGGGTTGATTGGAGTTTGGGAGTCGTACAGAGGAAGACAATAAAAAATTGTTTGTATTGCCATCGCGTGCAATTCACTTTTTTAGACATTTTTAAGAGAGTTAAGCAGAGTTCGACTTTAAAATATGGAGGATAGCGGCATCGACAGCGAGGACAGGCAATCCAACATATACGAGGATGGGGCAGCGGGACTGCTGGTAAGTGTATTTGCAACCACAACAGCTGAGGGGGCAATGCAATTTTCCATGGGTAACGTCACTGCAGAAAACGGCCAGCGGAGCCCCCAAACATATGTCGGATCTGGAGTTTGAGGTGGCTTTCAGGGGTGCCGGCAAGGTCTATGCCCCCACGACCATAGAAATCGATGAGGAGGAGCAGGCGACCGCCTCCGGTCGAGGCCACGAGCCACCCAACACCTGCCGCATACTGCAGCGAAAACTGGAGCTGAAGGTCGAGCGAGCCCGGCGCAATTACACTCAGTTTCAGGAGGAGCAGGTGGGCATGGGTGTACACCCTGGGCCAGTCACTTATAACAGAATACCTCTCCCAACCGCAGGCCACCAAGACGCAGTCGTCCACTCTGATACCCATCAATCGACTTCCCATTCCGGGCGAACCCGAACACAAGCCGCTGGTGGACTACAAGTCGGAGAGCAGCGATGAGGCCGAGGAGATCTCCTTCTTTCCGGCACAATTGAAGCGGTCCAAGCGCCGCCAGCAAAACCACGAACTGACTGACACCTTCAGCATACAGGAAATGACCATCGACTCGGATCTGGAGTCGGACGACAGTGCTGGCACCCAGAATCTCGAGCTACTGCTGCCCTCCATGAAGACGACTATTTTGGATAAGTTCAAGGGATGCTTCGGCTGCTGGCGGCGCAGGTAATGCCAGGCGGAGGAGCGGAGGCATATCAGACGACGTTTCAGGCACAAATCACGTTATTGACAGGCACTAGCAACCTACGTACTTAATAATAAACTCCATTGCCACTACAGAGCTGTAAACATAGATTTATTTGGCTTAGTAAAATCCATTCGATAAATATTAATCAATACTAAACGAGAGACTGCCTTTTAATATAGGTTTTAAGGAGAAAGGGGTAAATTAAGGAAGGTAAAGCCCCTTAAATATATAAAACAAACGTCCTCAAACGTTCCTCACATTGGTTTTGCTGACCAACAAATAGGTTTATAAGTAAGTATGTTTTAAGTGTTAAGTTTCAGAAATTCTGTCTATATACCAGGCAATTTACTAGCAATTTAAGATTTTGAATGTTCCCTACTTAAATTAAATTTCATATATATTATTATTTGTATTTACAGCTAAGATGTAAACATTTAATTACACGGAAGTACTGGAATGTTGTACAAATAATTCGGCTACGAATAATTAATATGAATAATGCTTAGTCTTCTTGTTTATGGAATTTTAGGTATCCGTATTGAGTGTCAGACAGACGCCCTGCAGAATCCAGTGACTTAAATCCTCGGAAGTGGCCAAATTCGCCTCAAAGACCAGACCCACTCCCATGGCATTTCTCCTTAACGATGTCGTATAAACAGGGGCAAGGTAGGTATTCTACAAACAAAGGTCACATATTAGAATAGGTTGAAAACAATTTAAGAAACCAAGTTCATGGTCCCCTTGTGTTAAAGCATCCGGTATTTAAACTCGGAAACAATTAGCACAACAGATGCCCCATTAGTTGGCTAGGAGGTTTGCGGAAGCTGCTGGTAATTTAGTGCGATGCATTTAAACAAATATCAGCGTGGCCACGCCCCCTCCGACGTCCGCCACCCCGGCATATGTAGATACAAGAGCACATTAGTACTTGTCACTGCCAGACGGCAGCTATCCTGGCTATCCTGGCTAACCCTCCTGACCAGCTCTATCCCATCCCATCCCGAAAAGTCCCCTAAACATACAGACCTGCAGCTTGAGACGGTGCGCCTCGATGGGCTCCACGGCGAGAATGGCCAGCTCCTCGACCAGGACCTTGGGATGGGAACGCGCCAGCTGATTAGCGCCCAAGTCAAAGCGCCCGCCCTCGATGTACAGACCGTGCACAAGGCAGCCCTGCAAAAAGTTGAGCGATTAAAATGCAAACAGAATTCCTAATTACGAAATTAGTGCCAGCCCCTGAACCAGGATGGAGTTGGGTCATCGTTTTGCATTTAGAATGGCGGGGGGATGAGATCCGGGACTCTCTCCCTATTCCCCTACACCCTAACTCACCGTCACAGGACGCTCCTCCACATCATCGGGGTCCGCAAACTTGGTTACGTAGGTGAAAAGCGTAGAACGATCCAGCGGCCAGGCGTTGCGGCGGCAGGCAATCTGCAAGAAGGGGAAATTACACTCAGAAAAATTTTAAAGCGGTTATCTAGAATAACATTTTTGGATAAGTGTATTTGGTTATTTGATTGAGGAATATAAATATATGATTTAGAAATGGAATCTGCTAAGGGATTGGGGTGGTGGATCTCTCATAATCCTTCGTAGGGAAGCCCCGAGTTCAACTCAATTTTTTCTTAAGAATATCTTTGTGTACTCTGACAAAGTGTCTAAAAAATAGATTATAGGACATTTACCAAATATTTTGTTTAAAAATTATGACTAATAAAAGAACGTTTTTACTTTAATCGCGGAATTGTTAATTATTTTCCTCATATCAAAAATAAAGGAAAATATTTTCTTATTGCTCTTGAAAATAAGATCTTCAACATTAGGAATACTTTTTCAAATTCATTCTCTTGTTGAAAACATTTTTTTTTTCATAGTGTATGAATGCCCCACCAGTGAAGGTGTGACAGTGTAGACTCACCTGCACGAGGGCCGTGAGATAACTCTGCGGTATATGCAGTCCCGACAGCCACATGACCAGGGGCTCGCCAGAGAGCGTCCAGTATTTGTATTGCACGGCCCGGAGCTGCAGGAACGATAGAAAGCCTGATTAGTGGACACGAACTCACCTTGATTGATTTTGCGCTGAGCTGATTAATGAGCAGCGCGCCGGCAAAAGGACTTGACTAGACTCCGCTCGACTCACCCGCAAATGCTCCAGCCAGCTGGCCAACTGTTTGCATGTCGCCGGCGCCAGTTTGCTCCACGAGGCTGGCAGGAGGCCATTGAACAACGAGTTGGCAATGTTGTCCAGCACATTGTCCATGCCGATTTCGCCGGCAATGGCCTGCGGAGAGCATGCAATTAAATTAAAAGGCACAATGGAGAACGGAGCACATGTGTGGGCGTGACTGCAGCACCAGATCCCGGGGCCAAGACAAAGCCCGAGTTCATTTGCATTTGTAAATTTATTTTGGCAACAAAATGCAGCCTTAGCTCGGAGGTGGGTGCTCTCCACCAGCATCCCATCGCCCATCCCCCACATTCAAATTTGGACATTGTTTGCTTGGTCGCCGGCCAAGTTGGCAAATGCATAAACAAATGCGAAATGCAAAACAAGGCTGAAGGATTTATGTGCGGCCTCTATTGACAGCCATATACGAGAAAATCCCCCATATATGCATACAGTTAGTTACCTTGCGGAGCAGCTCCAGGGTCTTCTTGATCCGCACGACCAGCAGATTAAAGCGGTCCAGCTCCTGGAGAAGGACCACCCCGGTGGGTGACAGGCTCATCTGGATCTGTTTGCGAATGCGCCAAGTCTCAAAGGCGGGTGGCAGCTTCTTCAGTATGCCGGCTGCCACCGAGTCGATGAAGTCGTCGCGGCTTATTCCTCCAGTTCCCTCACCTGGATGCACCGAAAAAACAGGAGGAGCGTGAGTGGGGATTGTGGTTCTGGCAGGTGTCAGGACAAAGGCAAGGAAAATGCCGCTGTAATGTATGCACAGCCTGTGGTTTTTCCACTTGCCTTTTTTTCGTAAATCCCTCATCTCCCCCTTTATTTCTGTTGATTTTATTAATTTGCCTTTTTATCTGGCACCCAAATAGAATTTTTTCGGTCCCTGCTTTATTTTTTGCTAAAGTGTCAATTAGCAAATACTAAAGCTCATGAATATGCAAATTATCGCCATTTTTCAGGGAGCTACTCGATGAGACGTCGAGCATATTGGTGATAAAGGACATTGAAATAATCAATGCCAGTTTTTAAAAATTGTTTCTACTAAGGTAACTCTATATATTTTATATTTTTATTGGCTAGAAACCTTCAATATTTTTTGAATTAGTAGTAATAAAGCTATAAAAAGTATTAATTTCATTCATTTTGAGCCAAAGATTTCCCTAAAAATATTTAAAGGTAATTTAAAATGTACAATTTCTTTGCAGGCAGTATGAATAACTTCGCTTTTTAAATTCATTAGTAGAGTTTTAAATATTCCCTGCAGCTGAATTTTTGGCGCGATCGTATCTTGGTGCGTATCTCCATGAATTGAAATAAAATGGTTAAACTCGATTTTTAATCAGTGGAAATATTTGTTCTTATTATTATTTTTATTTACACTAAATGGGCGATTGTAGGTGGGTTTTTTCTGTTTACGCTGAATACTTTACCAGGATTGACTTCGGTTGGTGTCCACTTGGTCACTTCGTGTGTGCGAATATATTTAAAAAAGTATTCCAAATTGTATATACAATTATTTACAAGGCCACACATATATAAATATGCATGATTGTGAGCGGGTGGTGTGCAAAGTGGGAGGGTTGTGTGGGTGTTTTGGGAGTTGGGAGTTAAGGGGGTGTGGCATGGAAAGTGCACTCTGATGACGGTTTTAACACGTTTAAGCCCGTAACGCAAAATTATCGACTTTTGTGTGACGTTTTCACCATTTTTTGGTACTTCTGATGGCGGTCGGTGCGGTGAGGTTTGAACTCGATTCGCTGCGATTTGCGGCAGTGCGATGAAAGTGAGTGAATACCGATGGGAGTGCGGATGAGGATGTGTATATGTAATTTGCCCTCCAATCTGACCCGACCCATGTGGGCCACGTGTGTGGTTCTATTTTAATTTTTAATGTGTGCATTGCTGTTGTGCGCCGGCAATAATGGCGCATGCAATAAAGTTAATTGCAAAACCGCAACTAATTAATTAAATTAAATTAAAAATTCAACATGCCAAAAATACAACATTGCATAGCAGAGCGCGAGCGTTGGAATGAAAATCAACAAGATAAAATGTAATAAACGGCTGACAATTGGCACACGTTCATGCAAATTGAACCATTTACCAGGGCGCTGCTCGTGCTCGCATATCTATATTATATTATTATCATTACTTTTTTCCGATTCCGATTCCGATTCGAATTATCAACGGATAGCGCGCGGGGAGCGAACGTGTGATAACCAGGGTAAAATGTGGGATTTGTGGGTGATGCTATCTCTCGAGCAGATTGGCCGCCCGCGGGTATATGGCGGTTAAATATTGGATGGCTCTTCCGACCAGGCCACTTACCAGTCTGCGGCTGCAGCTCAATCAAACTGTTCCAAATGTTGCGTGCCGCCATTGTGTAATAACCGATTTCCGCGTTCGGATGCAACCCAAATACATCCGGCTTGTTGACCAGCGGCAGTTTGTCGATGTGCGCTGTTATCAATGCATTACATATGTAAATAGCCCAGGGAACCACTACTCACTGCCCTCCGCTCACCTATATAGTCCTCCTTCAGTATGGTGTCCTCTTCCGGCAGGCAGTAGTCCACGTTTTCGTCCTCATAGAAGTGGAACACTTTGAACTCATCAAACAGAAAGTCCCCCATATACTCGTTCATGTAGCAGTTGGTAATGCGCCGGTCGAAATCGTCAATGACCCGTCCTCCATACATCACCTCGCCAATTAGGTACTTCAAACTGTTCCAAGGTATCTTCCCGGTGCCACAGCGTGTTAGATATGTCCGCAGGATTTCGGTGCACACCTCGAAATCCGTGTCGTTGAAATCGTACGCTATATTCCAGCCCAGTTTGTCGTACTTGCGACGCTCCTGCGGATGGGAAAAAGGTTACACAAATTAATCGAAGTGCCTCCAAATAGACGATCAATATCAATTTGCTGCAACTGCTGCTGCCGCGGCTCCATCAATTGTGCAACTCTGAAAAGCTTTCAGCTGCTAGAAATTAAGAGATTAATAAATAAACGACTCCACACACTCGACCAGCTGGGCTCCGACTGTAAATAGCGATATCTATGGCTTACTGATGGTTAACTCACTTGGACGACGGCATGGAAGAAGGCCAGCACATAGACCAGCGGTCGGAAGGCTACATGAGAGCAGCTCTCGAGGCGCTCCTGGCGCACTTTGAAGTACGTGGAGCGCAGATTCAACTTCAGGCCGTTGGGTGGCTCAGTAACCACTGTAGAAGAAGGAGTATACTTGTCAGAAAACCCAGAAAAATTTATAAATCTATTGTAATGTTTTTAATAATTATTATAATGTTTAATTTTAGCCATATCTGTCTGTCCGTTTCTACGCAAACTAGTCTCTCAGTTTTATAGCTATATGGATAAAGATTTCCCTAAATTACATTTTTTAACTGTGAGTGCCAATTGATTTGAAATTTTATGTCGAATTTAAGGAAGTAGAAATTCCAGTATGTGAACATTATTGCTGAAGTTAGCTTCCGTTTTCGTTTTCCATTAAAAAAAAATAAATTCCAACTTATTAATCTTGCCAATTTTATGTTAATGTTTTTCCAAGTGCAGTAAAGTAATTAAATATGGCACCACTCACCCTTTAAAGACTTCTGAAGAATTCCAATGGGGAAAGTCGGCGTGGGGTCCGTGGTTATCCACAGTCTGAAGTCCGGATGCGGATTTTCGATGCGGTCCAAATACTTCTCCAGCTCTCGGACGAATCTGATGAGCAGGTGTCCATTCTGCAGCATCAGCCACATTCCCTGTTTGACAGCTCCATCGAGTAGGCGAAGGGCGGCCTTTTCCTGGCCCTGTCCCAGCGAAATGTGGCAGAAATTGGACATACCAACAATAGTATCCGCCAGCTTGATCAGATCGTTGGTCGGATCCGAACCGGCACTCAGAACAAAGCACACCGGAATCGTGCTAGAGGTCTGTTCGTAAATGGCCGTAAAGCTCACCACAGGCGGCATGATATAGAACTCATCCATCGTTTCCACGATATATTGATTTATACTCCGGAAAATGCGATCCACGCGGAAGCAGCGAAGGAACATTAATTTCTGTGGGCGAGACGGGCGGAATCCTTGGGCTTTAGACATTTTAATACCATCCAAGTGACAATGAGCCGACGACAGCTCGTCATCAGTCCTCCATAGTTGGCCAGTAGCTGCTCCATTGTTGCTCTTGCCGTTGCTGTTGCCTTTGGGTGTGTTGCCATCGTTTCTGCGGTTTCTAGCACAACTCAAGTGCAAATTGGGCTCGCTTCGCTTGGCGCTGGTTTCAAGTGCGACTGCGGGCGCAAATTGCCGCTCATCTAATGGTTTGGAAAATTGATAAAATATGGTAATGCACACAGGCACAGGCACTGGCACACAGAGACATCCATATATAGAGATACTGCCAGCATGCTGGCTGACAAAAACAGGCTGCTAATAACTTGAGAGGAAAATGTGCGCCAAAGTTGCAGGACGTAGCAAAAGTCGAGTAAAACTAAACGCCCCCCAAAGTGGTGTCCTTTTGGGTATAGTTGTGGGTGTGGGTATGGGTTTGTGCCTGGCTTGTACATAATAATCCACTAGAAGCGAGCATAAAGTACGAAATCCAATAACGCTCAATGGCAAACGGGCAAACCAACACCAGCAGCAACAGCAACAGCAACGGCAACGGCAATTCAGGAGGAGCATCTGAAGCTTGGGTTGGAGGAGCAGCTCCTGGCCAGGACCACTCGAAGCTGAAAGCATGCAAAGCGAGTGGGTGAATACACAGCAGCGGCAGGACGCAGCACTTGCCTGGAATGCATTGCATTTGATGTTGTAGTCGCCCGGACACGCCACCTCCTCAGGATTCTCCAAGTCGAACCACTGAGCGACGGGCAGGACGCAGGACGCAGGACACAGGACGCAGGACACAAGGCCAGTACCCAGAATCCAGAGCACCCAGTTCATGGGCATTCGGATGACGATGGCGATGGCGATAAGTGCAGGCAAAATGAGCGTCGGCAACGGAACGGAAGTCAGTGAATGCCACATGCCAGTCAGAATCAGAATCAGGAGCAGAAGCAGTTTCGTTCCCATCGACCATCCGAGTCCAAGTTGTTGGGTTGTTGGGTTGGCGGTTGTTTATTGTTGTTGTGCCATCGTTTTTGTTGTTGTTATTGTGCATTTTATAGCACCGTCCACAGAGCAGCAGTAACAGCAATTTGATAACGGCATCGGAGTTGACGTTGACGTTGAAGATGATGCACCCAAGCGAGCAGCGGGAAAATCGGAAAAGAAAATACAAAAAATATGGAAAACATGAACATTTAACAACGTATACTCTTGAACCTCCTTTGAGGTTCAGGAGCTGTTTTATTTCAGCGTTTAAATGTCGTTTAAACTATACTTTAAAAGGAGGATTAAGTTATTCTTATCTATTTAATTTTTCATAGCCCATCCATTGCTCTTAAAAATTCAAAAACTAAAGCAAAAAACACTTGTTATTGTCTGAGCTAAACCAATTCGAACTCACCTCCTTCCATTCGGTCAGATAGCGACCAAAGTGGTCTGGCAGGGTGCCGAAAGTTTCCGGGAAATCGAAGCTCAACTTGAGCACATCCTCCCAGCTCTTGTCGCTCAGCCACTTGCAGGGATTGGCGCGTTCGCTCTTGGTCAGCGCAATGCTGCCCTTGATGAAGAAGTCCAGCTCCGATTGCAGCAGGATGCCATCCCGCTGGGCGAGCTTGGTGGCGATTTGGAAGGAGAAGAGCAGCTTGTGCCGTTCAAAGATGCCCGTGCAGCCGTAACAGTACACATTCTCCGTCAGGGTCTTAATGATGTTGTTCAGCCGCTTGTTGAGACTGGCATCCGGCACAGCTTTGCGCAGTGAGTAGACAAAGACGTCTAGGTAAGCAGCCAATGCATACTGGTACATGCTATTAACAGTGGCCATGTCCGAGAGGGCAAAGAAGAGTACCGCTCCGCGCTTGGCCGCCGGACGATATCCATTTCGCAAAACCTCAATGTCTGCCGCCGTGTCCGCTGCTAGTTTCAGTTGCTCCATGACGACGCCCGCCTTGGTCTTGGTGTTCTCCAGAGTCTCGATGAGTTCCACGTTATCCAACATGTTGCCCGTTGATGTGGACAGCTCTCGGAGCAGAGAATCCTCCAGCTGCTGCAACAGCTGCTTGTTCTCACTGGTCTGCGCGATCAAGGACTCGCGCTGAGCCTCCAGATCCGGTCGCTCAGTGCCCACCACCACGCTCAACAGCTGATCCTCTAGTCCTGTTTGGGTCACCGTATAGTTTATAACCAGTGCCTTGGCGTATACAGCCGGGTCGAACTTGGGATTGGAGAACTTGGTGGTCAGGTAGACCCGAAAGCCGGGATCCCAGTCCACCTCCTTGTCTCCCAGCATGACGAACTTTCGCCCACCTTGAATGCGAATGTTTTTCTGCAGGATGTCATCGATCACCGGGTCTATGTAATCATCCACATCCTCGAAGAGAACGGGCACCCCGTACATGATGGCCATCTCCAGCTGCTTAAGGAAGTCAAAGTCACTGAAGGAGAGCACTTTTAGGTTGTTGCGAAACTCCCTTTTGCGAATCCACTGCAACGCCTGCAGCTGGGGATCGATGCAAAGCGGGAAGCGAGAGGCACGCATGGTGAGGATGCCGTTCTGGATGGACAGCTCGTCCGGCGGCAGACCCTCGTTGCTCCACTGCGAGATCTCCACGTCAGTGGTGAGATAGCCATCTATCTTGAATGGTAGCTGTATAGGAATTCCCAAAGCCACAATGTCCTCCAACCAATCGTCAAAGACCATCGCTTTGCGGAACTCCCAGGTAAATGCACCGGTGTAGGCCAAAAAGGAGGCACTGATCAGGCATACGCCAACGCTGTCGATCAGCTGCTGACCCAGACTGGCCATCTCCTTGCTCCAGCGGATCAACTCGGAGGTCAGGCCGCTGATCAGCTTGTCGGAGGCGATCAGGCGCCGCTCCGCCTGTTGCATCATCTCGGTGAGGGCACGCATTTGTTTCATCGACGTGGCATAGTTCTCGTTCAACTGGTTCAGCTTCTCCTCCAGCTTCTGGATTTCGGAGTTTAAGTGGTTCAGCAGCTTGATCTGCACATCTTGTTCTTCCACAAGGAAGTCCAAGCGTTCCTTCTTTGGCTTCACCTCCTTGTACACATCGAAGAAGCCCAGCACGGCCCTTACGAATCTAAGGAGACCCGCACCGGCAACGGAGATCTTGGCCATGTCGTCCAGGTTTCCAGTTTTCATGTGCTGCCGGCACGTGGTTATCTGCTTCTGGGTCAACGCTTCACAATCCATCTCCATCAAGCTCTTGAGGAAGTTCACGTCGCTCATCATACCCTTGGCACTCTTCCAATTGATCTCCTTGTAGCCCTTAAGAATGGCCACACACTCACAGACCACCTGCACGGCGGCCGGGGGCGTGGCAAAGGATCGGATCTCGGTGATCTGCGCCTTTTCCAGTTGGGATAGAGCTAACCTGGCTTCCTCGAGGGCTGGCATCGCCTCGGCCAGGATCTCCTCGGCCTCGTCCTTTTCAATGGCAATCTGTTTGCCCTTTATCTCCACCTCAACGGACTTCTCCGACGCCTCAGCCTTCTTGACGTTGGCCTTCTGCGTGGACGACTCGATGGTTACCAGCATGGCCTCGCATTCTTCCGAGGCGACGGCCACGTTCTTCTTCTGCTCCGTGACTATAATACGCAGCTCGTCGATTTGCACGGAAGCCTCCTCGATTTTTTTGATGCCTTCGCCGAGACGCGAACGTTGCTGGGTGATAAACTTTGCCTTCTCCTCTGCAAAATATAAAGGATAAGTTATCATTTCAAGTCTATTATTTTTTTCACGTACCCAGCAATCCTCTATAAGTGTTTATATAGTCCAGATAATGTTTGGGCGTGACGAAGTTGTTTCGCCTCAGTTTGGCCAGATAGTCCTTCGAGTACTGCTGTATAGTGGTGTGGACATGGACCACATGTTCAACGATGGCCTCTCGATGAGTGGCCGGAATCAAGCGGTGCTCGGTGAGGAAGAGCTTGGCCACCGCATACAACGCCTGTCGTGGCCACGGGAACACCCAGTCTATGTAGGTACTGCCAATGAGGCCCGGGAAGTTGCGGCAACGATTGCGCAGCGCATCGCCAGCCGGAGACATACAGAGGACCACGTGCAGGTTTTCCGCACAGGTGCGCAGGAAGTAGCCCCAAACCGCGTCTCTGTAGCATAAAAATTGCATTGCAGAACAAATATTGTAGGTTTAATCTGAAGTTTTATAGACCACTCACTTAGAGGCAGAAACTCCATCTTCTTCTGCAAACTTGCGAACTTGATTAACAATACCATCCTTATCTTCATCTGGGAACAGTGCTGGTACTTGACCCACCGTCAGGATGTTGTTGATCAACTCCAGGAAACCCTCTTCTGCCACCTAACAAAAATATAATACGTAATTTTTAAGTTTGGGTATTCATAAAATGGTGAAACCATGCCTCACCTGTGCTCCCGTAAACAAGAAGACGACCTTCTTCCGTTTTACGCCCGCCAAGGTGTACAGGACCTTGAGGTCCTCGCGGAAGGCGGCTTCATTATAGCCACGTGAAATGGTGATCTCAAAGACATCGCATTCGGCGGCAAAAGCGGCCAGGCGGGTGATGCACTTCTTGCCACTGCCGCCGACTCCAATGAGCAGCACATGTCCGCGATTCATACGCAGTGTGCGATGAACTCGAGTCAAATGCTCCAAACAGTCCTCGAACAGAACTAGAGTCATCTTTTGCTTCCGTTCGCAGTACTCCTCGAGGATCTCGGTGAACAGAAAGTAAACTGAGTTGTAGTCCAGCAGATCCTCATACAATCGAGCCTCCGATTCGTTGGTGAAGTTGCGGAAGTCCCCGAAGAGCAGCGGATCCCGCAGGACGTAATCCTTGAGTGAAAGAATCACCTGTGGTGCCTCTTCACCCTCTTCTTCCTCCTCGCCCTCCTCCTCACCGGCGTCTAATTCTCCCTTGGACGGCTCGTAGAGAAGACGAGCCTGCGCCTCTGCCTCCGCCGCCACTGCATCAATAAACCCATGCTCCTCCTCGAAGGATGGCGGAAAACGCTCGCCCACCTCCACGGCCAGGTTACGCCTTACGTTTGCGATGTCCTACAATTAAGGAATGCGAATAAGGCTAAGTAAGTACATAAGTTTAACCATATGAAAGCAAAATATATTGTAATGAATATACAAACAAGAAAGGATATAGTAAAGTGGGAAGTGCAATTGTGGGTCACCTTATTACAAGTCATCAAAAACTTACAAATAACTAACATGAAGATGGGTCAAAATTTTGATCAACGTTAATATAACAAATTTGAATGCAAATTTTTATAGAATGAAACCACAAGTCTTTAGAGGTATGTCACTTTAAAATCGGATTATATTTGGTAAAGTTATAGACTCTGGAAGTGTAATTGTGGGTCACCTTATTACAAGTAATCGGAAACAACTAACATGAAAATGGGTCCAAAATTTGATCAACGTTAAATTAAAAATTTTGAATGCAGATTTTTAGAGAATGAATCCACAAGAATCTTTAGATGTCTGTCACTTTCAATTCTGATTAAAATTGGTTAAGTTATGGACTCTGGAAGTCCAATTGCGGGTCACCTCATTACAAGTCATCGGAAACTTGGAAATAACTAACATGAAAATCGATCCAAAATTTGATTTAACTGACATGAAAATGGGTCAAAAATTGGACCAACGTTAAAGTGAAAAATTTGAATGCAGATTTTTTGAGAATCAAATTACGAGTCTAAAGAGATATGCCACTTCCAAATCGGATAAAATTTGGTAAAGTTATGGACTCAGGATGTCCAGTTGTGGGACACCTTTTAACAACACATCGGAACTTGGAAATAAATGACATGAAAATGGGTCAAAAATTGGAACAACGTTAAAGTGAAAATTTTGAATGCAGATTTTTTGAGAATCAAATTACGAGTCTAAAGAGATATACCACTTCCAAATCGGATAAAATTTGGTAAAGTTATGGACTCCGGATGCCCAGTTGTTGGACACCTTTAACAACACATCGGAAACTTGGAAATAAATGCCATGAAAATGGGTCAAAAATTGGACCAACGTTAAAGTGAAAATTTTGAATGCAGATTTTTTGAGAATCAAATTACGAGTCTAAAGACTTCCAAATCGGATAAAATTTGGTAAAGTTACAGGCTCCGGATGCCCAGTTGTGGGACACCTTTTAACAACACATCGGAACTTGGAAATAAATGACATGAAAATGGGTCAAAAACTGGACCAACGTTAAAGTGAAAATTTTGAATGCAGATTTTTTGAGAATCAAATTACGAGTCTAAAGAGATATGCCACTTCCAAATCGGATAAAATTTGGTAAAGTTACAGGCTCCGGGTGCCCAGTTGTGGGACACCTTTTAACAACACATTGGAACTTGGAAATAAATGACATGAAAATGGGTCAAAAATTGGACCAACGTTAAAGTGAAAATTTTGAATGCAGATTTTTTGAGAATCAAATTACGAGTCTAAAGAGATATACCACTTCCAAATCGGATAAAATTTGGTAAAGTTACAGGCTCCGGATGCCCAGTTGTTGGACACCTTTAACAACACATCGGAAACTTGGAAATAAATGACATGAAAATGGGTCAAAAATTAGACCAACGTTAAGGTGAAAATTTTGAATGCAGATTTTTTGAGAATCAAATTACGAGTCTAAAGAGATATACCACTTCCAAATCAGATAAAATTTGTTAAAGTTACAGGCTCCGGATGCCCAGTTGTTGGACACCTTTTAACAACACATCGGAAACTTGGAAATAAATGACATGAAAATGGGTCAAAAATTAGACCAACGTTAAAGTAAAAATTTTGAATGCAGATTTTTTGAGAATCACATTACGAGTCATAAGAGATATGCCACTTCCAAATCGGATAAAATTTGGTAAAGTTATGGACTCCGGATGTCCAGTTGTGGGCCACCTTTTAACAACACATCGGAAACTTGGAAATAAATGACATGAAAATGGGTCAAAAATTGGACCAACGTTAAAATGAAAATTTAGAATGCAGATTTTTAGAGAATGAATCCACAAGTCCTAAGATGTATGTCACTTCAAATTCTGATTAAAATTGGTTAAGTTATGGACTCTGGAAGTCCAATTGGGGGTCACCTCATTACAAGTCATCGGACACTTGGAAATAACTAACATGAAAATCGGTTCAAAATTTGATAAACGTTACATTAAAAATTTTTAATGCAGCTTTTTAGAGAATGAAACCACAAGTCTTTAGAGGTATGTCATTTTGAAATCGGATTAAATTTGTTAAAGTTATAGACTCTGGAAGTTCAATTGTGTGTCACCTTATTAAACTTGGATATAACTAACATGAAAATGGTCAAAAATTTGATCAACGTTAAAATGAAAATTTTGAATGCAGATTTTTAGAGAATGAATCCACAAGTCACACTGTATGTCACTTTAAATTCTGATTAAAATTGGTTAAGTTATGGACTCTGGTAGTCCAATTGGGGGTCACCTCATTACAATTCAACGGAAACTTGGAAATAACTAACATGGAAATGGGCCAAAATCAAAAAAAAATCGGATTCAATTTGGCAAGATTTATTTAAAGGTTTCTTTGTCAAATTTTAATTGCCTCATAAAGAAGTTCATAATTTTTAATTTAAACAAACTTTATCTGATAAGGAATGTGGCACTATAACATTTACTAAACATCATTTAAAATGAAAATGTTAATTGCTATTGATATAGCATTGTTTCTAGTTTTCTTTTTTATGATATTTTGTCAATTTACTACTTACGTTGTCGGCAATCAGCCGATCGCAGATGATCCTGGTGTACTCGTTGCGCCACACCCTGATCAAGTCCCTCAGGCTCTTGAAACAAGTGGGTTCGATCAGCAGCAATCCGGCGAAGATGCGCGACAGATCCTTCAGATTGAAGATGTAATGAAATTTGGAGGGGGTTGGCGGCAGATCCACAATCACCATCTGAGGAAGAGGAAGCAATTAGCATAAGCAGGCCAGGCCAGACAATGGCCCATGTATCCGGCAACCCAAACACCCCGCACACCAGGAGGAGGGCCCCCTGGAAACACAGCGGCAACGCCACACAAATCAATTTTATCTCGACTAGCAATATGCGTTCACAAGAGCCGCAGCAAGGACTTCCCACACGCTCCGCCCTTTGGGGACATTGCCAAGTTGCTGAATTTACAGCCATTATCGAGTTGCAGCGGACGCACCAGCAGCGCGCATCTGAGTAACGGCAATTCTATTCAAATAATTCATTTCACTCCATTTCGTGGGGCATTAATATCCTAGCCCTGAGTGTGTAAAGAAGACATACGAACTAGGAGCTTGGAGCTTGCAACTTGGACGGTGGACGGTGGACGAAGGACGAAGGAGTAGCAGGTGTGAGTAAATCATTTTTCCCCAACATTTTTCGGATATGGAAAGGGTGGCTGCCTGTGGCAATTGCGGCGACAAATGCATTTTTATCTGTACGCAATGAAATGCGATAATATTTTAGTGTCAACAATTGTTAAAAGGACCATAAACTAATGCCTCGGCCCGTGCCACGCCCACAGGAGCTACGAAAAGAGCCATCTCTCTACAGTTCAATACTTGAACATAATCAAATTTCGCTCCGGCCAAGATATTCCGGCAGAGATAGTCAACGAACGGCAGGGAACGAGCAGATACAGATACAGATACATCCACAGCCACATTTACAGCCAGAGGCGGAGGCCCAGATACAGTCAACTAGGCAGCCGTCGAGGCGGGTGACCATTGTGAGGGCAGAGTGGAGTGGCTTTTGGAGTGGAGTGGTGCAAAAGTACGGGTGGCACGGGTCTACGGCACTGAGTTGCACTCGAAAAACCAATGGAGCAGCTACGAGATTGAGAACAAGGACGATGGAGAGGACGAAGCCCGACGTCGTAGTGCATTACAGACCATTGAATAATTTCCATTTCCATTGTACAGCGAGACGGGATGTGCGGGGTGGGGGCGTATGGTGGGCGGCACAGCAAAGCAGATTATGAAAAATTGTCGTTATTTGCATATGTAAATCGAATTTCATAAAATTTGTGAGAGGCCTTAAAGCATTATGCAGGAATTGATTTCTTCTACTGAATTTACCCTGAATGCAGTCAAGGTGTTCTTCGATATTAAAAATAATTCTACAAAAGCAGATAAATATATTCAATCGAAGACGCCTATATGGGGTGTCACAGAAATTTCATATGACTTATGCAAAATGTCACAAACATTTGTTTACTAATCGAAATTCTACCGTATGTCTACAAATTCTTGGACAATACATATTTACTTAAAGAATTAACATAGGTACTTAAAAAGATAATGATTACTGCCAAGATTTTAAGATACAAATAATAAAATAAGTCACATATTTCTTTAAATTTAGGAAGTACTATTCTTTTGAATAAACTTCGAATATACAATTAAACTTTAAATCCTATTAAAATTTTATGTGATTTCTGTGACACCCTTTCTAAAAAACATTGACTTACCTTAAAAAGTTTCAGCGTCATATGGACAATCATGTCGGCGATGAGCATGTATTGGTCCTGGAACTTCACGTATTGCATGTGACCCTTGAAGATGGAGGAGTAGATCTGGATGAGGGACTCATCGTTGGGGAACACGATGTTGTAGGTGGAGAACATGCTGATAAATCGCGGATCCACCTCGTTTCGACCGCCCCCTGCCGTTCCCATGGCCGCGTAGAAGGTCAGGTCCTTAAATTTCTTCCAGTTGAGGTCCTTGTCGCGGTCGTACATTCCGCCGCGTTCGAAGAATAGCTTCAGCAGGGCAATTGGCTGCTGAGTGCCATATCTGTGGGGGGTGGAAGGAAAGTGACACAGGGCTCATCACTCTATTCGCCTGCTTTAGCGACGTGAACTCACTCATCCACCTGCGGCATGTTCATGTCATCAATAAAGCAGGCAATTCTCTTGCCCATCGGGGGCCCGTACGTATCCTTGGTGCGTTTCTCCACGGCCGCCTCCAGGGTGTGCTGCACATCCAGCGACGAGGTTCTCGATGAAAAATTAATATTGAGTATGACCTGAAAGGGATGCGAAAAGGATGGGGTCGCCATGTTAGCTGGGAACGCGACATTTGTCAGAGAGATTTTTCAATTACGTTGACACTCGGATTGAGATTGCGCAAATATTGCATGATGGTGGCCGTCTTTGATGTTCCTGCCTCGCCCACAAGCAGAACGGGTCGTTTGATCTGTGTAAACGGAGTTGCGAACGAAATAGGGACAAACATTAATAAGGCATATCCAGGAAGCCGGAGTAATGACCTTCCCGAACCCACACTCACCTCGCTCATCAGGCTGAGCGTTCGGTTGGTTCGCGTGTTGTCTACCGTGGGCACCAGGATCTCGCTGAACTTCACCTGCGGGTCATGCGTATACGGCAGCACCACCCACTCCCAGGCCTTCCAAACGTTCTCCTTGACGTCCCAGAAGTAGTCGTACAGCGTGGGCTTGCTTTGCGGAAACTGTCCGCCAGAAGCGGGATTCTCCGGGGTGTCCTGTACCAGCGGGAAGCCGGAAATACGCTTCATATACTCATCGAATACGACCTGATGTTTCTCCACCAGACAGGCGCCCATGGATCCGTAGACGGCCTGCAGGAAACAACACTCCAAGCTGTCCGTATTGTAAGTCTGCAGCACGGGCTCATCGTAGTTCTTGCTGTCCATTACGTAATTGGGCAGCAGGGCGTCGTAGAGATTGCAGAACTGCGTGACCATGTTGAGGTCCGTCTGCATGATGACCAGCTTCAGGGGATTGCCCTGGGTAGTGCCATCCAGACCCTCCAGAATGAAGGCTATGGACTGTGTGATGATCTTCTCGAAGAAGTCGTTAAGCAGTTCCCGCTGGGCCTCGGGTCGGCTGAAGACCCAACGCTGCCAGTACGGACTGTAGCGCAGATTCTTCGGATCCACGTAAACCATTCCTGCCCGGGAGACCGTCGCTGGCGAGGCATAATTCAGATTGCCCACCTCGAACAGCAGGGCACAGTAGTTCTCCAGACGAATGCGCTCGCCGTTCGCCAGCGTCAGCAGCTTGTTATCATCCATCACCGAGTTCATGTTTTCGATCCAGAGGGCATCCACATCTCCATCGAAGCAGGCGTATCGTCGCTCCTGTCGGTGGGTTGGCATTGGGTTGCATTAGCCTAAGTGCGTTATACAATGCCTGTCACCGGAGTTCCCGTTGACACAGCGCCCCAGTCGGCTTACCAACCTCGCATGATTACTCTGCAGAGCCGAACGAATGGGCTTGGATGCGGAAATCGGTGCAGATTCACTCGGTAAAAAATAGACCGAAACCGACAAGAACTTTTTTAAACTGCCCTTCAAATTACTTTACACAAAAGTGTGACAAATGGAACGTAATAAGACTTGCAATTTAAAGGACCAAAAAATCGTTAAAATATCCTAAAATAAGCCTATGTTTAGACTGATAAGAAAATTGTGTAAGTATTAGAAACAAATATAGTAAATATTCGGTTTACATTTTTATCAAGACAATAAATTAGCATAAGATTCCCCTAACTTATACTTTTTTTCAAAAAATTCTTTAAACTGCATATACTCAAACGTATATGCTACATACAGGTGGCTCTGCAATCACGGCTTATTACTGTATGCACGCGATTTCCGCATGAATGATGCGGTGCAGCCACCAAGCACTTGCATTCGAGTCGGAACCCGAAATGACATTGAGCATGGTCGTCGGATGCGGATTCGCTGAAGCTGCACTTTAATTCCCGTGGGGTTGGTGGCGACATTACCTGCCCAGGTGTTTTCCTGGCTAGCCCCCTAATCCCACCCAAAAACCCCTACATTTACGTACCTCACGCTCGATGGGCTTATTCATTTCACGGAATATATTTGAAAACAATCCATCAATCCAGTCCCTCGTTTCCATATCCAAAAAACCGTATAATTCAATCACAGAACAGGCCTGCAAAACGAATGTGATGATAAACTTACTCGCATATGGTACAATAATAATTGGTTAAAGTTATACATGCACAATAATGAAAGTCGACCACATGGAAAACTGTCTGAATTCTTTCAACCGAAATTTGAGAGCTTTCCAATTCGAGTATCAATGTTTTTTCTTAATATTGCATCAACTAATTACAGTGCAAGCAATTGAACAATTTTATAAGCACTTAAAAACTCCGATTTGCAAAGGCAAAATGCGAAAAACAGAGAGAAGTGCAATTTGAAGACAGGAAAAAGGGGCCAAAGGACAAGCACCAAAGCTCATAAAGGGCGTGCAGCCCGACTGAAAAGCGGAGGAAACTAAAAGTGCTCGCAGGGGGAGGCAATTTGTGCGCCTGCCTGGAATTAGGGGATGGAGCCAGAGGTCCACTTACCTTGGGGTTAAGCACAAGGCACTTGGTGGGCAGGCCCATGTGGGTCTGCGCCTTGACCAGGGCATTTATGACGACAGTTTTCCCGCCACCTGTTGGGCCCACCAACATGGTCGAGTGCCGGGTCATCATGGTCTCGTACATTTGCACCACTTTGTCCTCCTGCCAGCGGGTTGTGGGTTGTGGGTTGCGCACGAAGGACGGAGGCGTTGCCATCGTTGGGATTTAGTTGTCATAAATGATGTTGCCCCGACAGAAGGCAGGGTGACATGTCGCATGTCCAGCAGTTGTCCATTTCCGGCAGGAGGTGGCCGGACATTTGTGCAACATTTTGTTTGATGAAAGCGGCAAGGATTTTGCCAGGAGTTCGAGAGAACAGCGTGCATGGAAGACAGAACAAGAAAGGGAAAATTGTATTAGTGAAAATTGTCGGCAGTTGAAGCAGAGGCAAAGTTTGAAATTGAAGGCAGACGCAGGGTCTGGGGAAAAATGCTTTGTAACATTTCCTTCATTTGCGATTATGCGACATGGCGCAATTTACAAAGTGTCAAAGTGATGGCCGTCAGGAGAGTGACACGGCTGACGACTATGGGTTGTTGCCACTGTCAACACGCCAGTGACGGGGCACAAACTTGGACGCAAGGACGCACCTGGTCGGGCAGCAGTATGTAGCCATCGTTGACCAGCACATGACGCACGGCGGCATTAAAGTCTGGATAACCAATGCGCGGACAATCAATGCCCGGAAACAGGTCCTTGATGAGACCGAGAAACAGAGGCACATCCTCGAACACAAACTTGGGGAAGTTCATGTCGCGCAGCACTCGCATCAGGACCACAGCCTCGGGCAGATCCTCCGACTGGCGTTTCATCACACCTGCCATCCGCAGCACGGAGTTAAGGGATCTCAGACCCCAATCATAATGGCATTGCTTGGACAATTGTGCCTGCGCCAGGGAGTACAGCACAGTCATTTTCTTGGCCAGCACCTTGGCGGTGAGGAAGCCATCGGAGAAAAGGGAAATCAAGCAGATCAACTCCAGATCGGGCTTAATACATGTCACTGGACGGAATAGGGCCTTTACGGATTCGGGCAGCTCTGTGCGGCCAGCGTAACCCGGGTTCATGGTCACGAACACGCCGCATTTGGGATCCAAATGTATCTCAACGCCTTCAAACTAAAAAGATACGTATATTAAATAGAGCAGAAGGCAAATACCTTATTTGTACTTACCACAAACCGATCCAGTTTCCTTATCAAACCATTTCTGATGGTCTGCAACTGGGTGGATATCACACTGAGTACCGAGATGTCTATCCGGTTGAACTCATCGAAGCATCCCCAAGCTCCGCACTGAACCAAGCCAGAGAGTATGGTGCCCACTGCCCGGTAGTCCATTCCCTCGCCGCAGTTAGTGACCACACAGAGAAGCCCCATGGCCTTGGCCAGATCCTTGACAGTCTCAGTCTTGCCAGTTCCAGCTGGACCTGCAGGAGCTCCTCCAAGATTCATGAGCAGCGCTTGGGTGATGGTCAGGTAAATACGATCCGTGAGGGGAGTAATGACCAGGCGACCATTGAGACCCATGTACTCGTAGCCAAAGTCAAAGCTACCAGAGCACTGGAGGACATGCAGGTTGTCGTAGAACTTGACCCAGTAGAAACGCAGCTGGCTCTCCCAGCTGAATTCGCTGGCATCCAGGACATTGTCTCGCACAAAGTTATCAATGATGTCCCGCGCATGGACGTCCACGGTGCACTGAGCCTTGAACTTCAGTCGATCGTTGCGGGAAAGATTGGACCGCACCTTGAGGACCAGCTCCTCGATCTGGTAGTTGTTCTTGCCCAGAAAGTCCTTCATGGCGCGCATGTTGCCGTGGTTCTGGGCCTGGTCGAAGGCCTCCTCCACCTCGGCCGTCCACCAGACTTGACTCGCAGCCAGGCCCACCATTCCCTGGTAGTTCATTAGCCAGTCGGGCCTGTGGACACAACAAAGTCGAAATCGAAAGTGCCCAATGACTGTCAATTTAATACAATTGGCCATAAATATGCCCGGCCATGCGCCCCATGGCTTAAACAAAATAATAAATCGCGCGAAATGACAAAATTATACAGTCCCAGTTGGAATGGGAACTGGCTAAGAGTTCGACGAGTTCGCTTGCCGCAATGTAAATCGCCGGCCATAAAAGGAATTGGCTGCCGAAGTGTCACTCCCGGAGGCCCCAGGATGCGGAGCCCAGAAGGATGCGAGCGCAGGACAGAAGGCATAAAATATGTTTTATGCCCAGCTGACGGTGCCACTTACCTTGAAATTTGCAGATCTGTGCCAAAGTCGTAGATGGCCGTCTTGTTTATGAAGCGATTGGAGCGGCGCATTTCATCCAGCACATCGTTCATCCAGTACTCCACGCGTCCCGCTGCCCGGGCTGTTTTTTAACCGGCGGAAGGAGGCAAACGAAAGGAAGAGACAATAACCGCATAAATAAACCCCAGTTGCCAATATCAATAAGTGTTATACAACAACAATAAAACAACAGCAACGGCAATAAGAACAGAAGAAGCAATCATCTACAGCAGCATGGCTGATGTGCCCATGCCGATGCGATGCCAACTGCTGCGACTGGCTTCAAATTAATTAAAAGAAATTGGCCAGTAGTCAGTAGTCGGTAGCCAGCAGACAATATTGCCATAAAAAAGTTCAATTTTAAAATTGGCAATCAGTGCGTGGAGCCCTGTACTGGATTGTCCAGATTGCCGGTTCCCCGGAATCAGATGCGGATGCGGAGCAACGTATACCTACCAGAATGCCGGAACTCCATGACCTCGCCCTCGCTGGAAATCATGGCGGTAACAATCGTCTGGCTGCCCTCCTTGACCAAACGCAGCGACTTGATATTGTCGTACATCTGCCGACCGGGGCGGGAAGTCAAATGAAAATTGCAAAATCAATGCAAACGGAGGGGGGAAAAGGAAGGAAAGAAATATTATTTATAAGCCGAAATAAATTCATAAAAATTTACCACGGCTCAAGGGACCCAAAAAGCCATGCATGTGTTGCAGAAATTGGCGTAATTTCCGCCATGGACATTGGCCAGAACGAATAAACAGTGACATTAACTTTTATGGCAAGACTCTCCTCCACATATATACATAAAAATAATGTCACTGGCAGTTTGGCAAATCTGTTGTTGCCACCACCGAACCAAAAGGCATCACCGCCCACCAACTTGAAGCCGTGACCCCCCAATACATAGTATACCCACCTTAATGATGTGGTTCTGAACTGCAGATGGCTCACTGCTGCCCAGGATGGAGAGCAGCTCATCGGTGGATATGAAATAGAAACGCGGAAAAATGCGACGCTTCGAGTCCAAATATTCGTTTAACGACTTCTGACAATTTTCCAAGCCAATGCCCAGGCCCTGTATTTCCACTAAGCGACCGGGTACTGTACAGAATGGCACCACTAACGGATTTTTGGCACAATCGACCATGATCTGCAATGGATGAAGAAGGGGAAGATGAAGCAGGAGGCAGGCACCGGCATCGCCAGTCAGGGCAGTAAATTATTATGAAAAGCAATGAGCGCAACGACCAACCCAAATACAATCAAACATATTAAAGGAAAGTGGGAAAGCGCCAAGCCACAATATGTGATTTATTTTATGCTCTATAATAAGATATCCAAGCTAAATATATATTTAACTTTGTGAAACATATTTATTTTAGTTTTGAAGAAAAGTTAGCAAATGAAGAAATACAATTCTTTAAAATTGTTATGATATTACTTTCATTACTTTAGAATAATCTATCTGCCTTTATTAAAAATTCATAAATTTTTAGCATACTTAAAGTTGGTTCTAATAGGGATCAGGTAAAGTGTTTTAATTAATAAAGGACTTGCAATAAGAGTAGGTTTAAACAACGATTAAAACTTTGTTATAAACCAACATTTATTTACACTCAAAGTTTGTAAAGCAATTTTAAGCTTCGAGTGGCACTACAATTAAAGGATCTCAAAGTCGATCAAGCCAAACAAGAGGCCCTTCGCCAGCGAGAGTGTATAGAACTTAACACGAATGTCGAGAGCAAATCAAAATAATAAATCATTTCACAAATGGCATCAAATATGGCGGCAAATGTTGCAAATGAAACGTAAAGCAAACGAAGGAAGCCAGTGGTTGGCAAGGTTAAGTGAAGTTAAGCGCCAAACACAAACACAAATCTATCCACACACGCACACTTACACACCAGGGAGAAAGCAGGCAGTAGTGGAAGGTGAAAGTGCTTGGCGTTTGTAAACACTGCTCGGGCTTACGTTGCGTATGTGTAATGTGGAAGTTTCTGGTCCTTGGTTATTCGGATCTGTGTGATTGTGTGAGTGTGTGCCGAGCCACACAATTACGCATACACAAAAGCAGTCGTTTGCATGCGTATTATGTTTACCGTTAAGTAAGGAGTCGCCATATTGTCGGCACACATTAAATCAACTCAAATAAATTGTAGCAGATACTAAGTGTGCGCTCTGTCAGCCTTTCGGTGGCCAAATACCCCAATAGCCAAATAACCAAATAACCAGAACAAGCAAATAGCACGACTCACTCACCCTGCGGTACGACTTGTCAATGTCATCGAATTTCCGCGCCTCCTCCGGCAACTGGGTGCGAATATCGCCGCCTATGAAAATCCCCTCCAGGTAGAGCCACTTGCGCTGCACCACCAGCCACTCGTCGATGATCTCCGAGATGAGGGCCAGGGTGCGCTCCCACTTGTTCACCGTCTCCAGGAAGGGGCCAATAAACCTGTCAAATAAATGCGGTTAATATATAGGGAAATAAATTGGTAAGTACAACAATATTTTATTTACAAAACTCGTTCAATTAGAGCAGACATTAGCTAGCTAATCCCTCGATTTGATAAGTAGAATAATTTAAAATTCAATTTAAATGAGAAAGTATACCCTTATAAATGGTTATTGTTTTGGATAATAATTCAATTAATTAGGAAATAAACTCACTGACTGGCTCCCATGGACTGTAGGTTCATCGCATTGTCCTCGAGTATCTGCATGATCTCATCCACTGGTCCGAGCACCCAACCGCGGTCATCGGAGCCCTTGTAGTGCTTGAAGGTCTTGAAGGCCATCGACGCCCAGGTCTCAATGACCGCCTGGACACCTCGCTCGATCTGCAACTCCTTGATGGCATTGGTGAGGATCTGCTCCGCTATTTCCTGGTACTTGTGCAGCTGCATGGCGAACATGTTCTCAAGGGTGAAACGAGCCGGCGACATGTCAAAATATTGGCCCGTCTTATCCATCAACTGCAGCCAATGGCGTTCCCTGAGCGCCTCATGTTTGAGGCTAACCATCAGCGGTACTGTGCCCTTGAACTGTTTCATGTGAATCTCCAGCTGCACGCCAACTGGCAGGGTGCGCACCTGAAAACGAATGGGGCGGTTTGGTTAGTTAGCTGCTGAAAATCAGCTGAAACAATAGTGTGGTCGCGTTGCCCGTGGTCGCCCCCATTGAATTATGACGAACGAGCGTCCTGTGGCCGGCGGTTTTTCGGTCTCGGTTATGTTTTAGCTATGCTGTTAGCCAAAAGCGCATTCTGTTTGCATTCCGGGCTGCTGTCCGTTTGTTTGCACATGCAAAATGCATGGCACTCCGGACCATTCAGGGACATAAATTGAAATAGCAACAACAGCAGCAGCAACACAGCAACACTGTCAACAAGTCGATGGCAAAAGGACGAGGGTGGATGAAGGGAGGGCAGGCAGGCGACAGGGACAGCCCGCTGGCATTTTAATTATTTTCAATATTGAACAAATTGATTTACATTTTAGGACGCTGATTATGTAGAGCCTCTCAGTAGTTTGTGCTTTAGGGCCTGGCATCCGAAATTATGCGCGATAAAACTGCATTAAAATATGTGCGTGTCGAATGATTATATTCAAATTTGTTTGCAGCCTCTACGCTATTTATATTAATCGCGGTGCTTTGAAATATTTGCCATACTAATATTCTCTCCGTCGGAGTTATGATGGCAGCTACCACCTAGAAAACCCCCCACTCTTTTCACCCCTGTCTCTGGAGGACACGCCCACTTCATTTGTATGGGCGATGGGCGAAAAGTTTTGGCTGCAACAAACTTTTGGCCCGGCCAGCGAAATTCCTCAAAAACTTGTTAGTGAAGTAAATAAATCAATTTGTCATAATCAGTTTAGGTGCGAAAATTTTGTCGCTGCAAGGCGTGTCCAGAAAATTCTCGTTTCTTGTTTAAGCAAAGCTTGAGGAAACCTCATATAAAGATAGGTATGAATAAGGGAAATACCCAGCAAGTGAATGGAAATCATTGGAATTGTTTCCCACTTTCGCACTCTTTAGGAAGCCAACCTACTGGAAGCCTCATATTTTTTTATATTCTGACAATTTTTTTTTGGTTATTTGAATGGACCGATATGCCTTGGCCTTAAAGAGGCATCACAAGACGCCTTTCCATCCACAGTGAGTTCACAGTTCAAAAGTATTTTGCTTTTGTTGTTCCGAGGCGTCTGTAATTTTATGAAAATCCAAGCAGGCCGAAAAACTTTGTTTAATTGGCAAAGTTTTCCGCACCCCGGAGATGCTTACCGCCTTGGTCAATTTCCGGAACTCCTTCAGATAGCTCTCAACGCCCTCAGTCAGCACGTTGGGATCCAGATCGGCCCACAAGGTCTTGCCCCAGCCCTCGCGAGCGAACTTCTGCGCCTTGTAAAGTCTATACAGCTGCAAGGGGGGTACGGTTTAGGAATCTTTTATGGATAAAAAGATAGCAAGGTAAGAACTGACCTGCTGCAATCCCTCGAACTCAGTTTGGACCCGCGCAAACTCGTGGTAATCGACCATGGCCATGTCGAAGAGCCGCTCTGCATTGGCCAACTCCTCGCGTCGTAACTCTCGCTCGGCAATTTTCTGGCCATAGGGATCCATTAGGCGCACGCCTCGTTCCAGTTCGGGACCCACAGAACCGGGTCCGTTCTCATCGTAATCCTTGATAAAGTCGGCCAACTGTCCGGAAAAGGGAGAAGCGCAAATAGAACGTGGTTAGTGCAGCATAAAGTAGCAGGATTCGGGGGTGGGGCGGCGAATGGACTCTGTCCCCACCACATCCGTCTTGCGCTCTAATTCAAATGATAAACACTTCAAGTTAATTCATTTTACGCTGACGGCAGCGCCGTCGCCGCTAACAATTGACAATAATGGTTGAGCGCGCGGAAAAATCCAATTAAAATGCCATTGAAAGGAAATAATAATGGGAGGAAACAAAACAGAATTGCAGAGAAAGAACGCAAAATAGCGGAAATGCAAAGTCGGCAGCGCAGCCTCAGCCCTAATCCCATTGCCTGCCGCAATCCCCGCGAGAGGAAGGACCCCCGGGGAAGGTCCTTCCTTTTCCTCTGACAACTTACATCATCGCAGAACTCATCGATTTCGACGGAAGTCATGTCGGCGAATTTCTGCTTAATTGGTTGCAGCTTCTCGTAGCGATACAGGGCCGATAGGAACAGCCTTTTCCAGCGCTTCTCCAGGTGGTGGGCCATCAGCATGTCCTCGTAGGGGAACTGCAATGGCGGTTGGAAATTAAATTGCGAGTCGAAATATAAATAAAACGCACATAAAAATTAAGCAGTGCCCTTCAATTATAGCTGAGTGCAAATAATAATCATGAAAAGTGCCGAAATTCACTAACGACCAGCGAAGCATGGTGTTCAGCCCCCCTTTCAACCGCCTTTGACCCACAACCAACAGTCCACAATCCGCAGCCAACAAGGCAGTCGAAAAAAAGCTATGGCATAGCTTTCAGTGCCGCCACCGTATAAATTTTCATTTGGACTTCCCAGCCATTGCAATGCCAATATATACAGGTGCGGACAAAATGGTAGCTTTAAAAGTATTATTTTTATACCCTTGCAGAGGGTATTATAATTTCAGTCAAAAGTTTGCAACGCAGTGAAGGAGACATTTCCGACCCTATAAAGTATATATATTCTTGATCAGGATCACCTCCTGAGTTGATATAGCCATGTCCGTCTGTCCGTCTGTCCGTCTGTCCGTCTGTCTGTCCGTCTGTCTGTTTCTACGCAAACTAGTCCCTCAGTTTTAAAGCTATCTGCTTGAAACTTTCCCAAAAGTTGTCTTTCTATTGCAGGTAGTATATAAGTCGGAACGAGCCGGATCGGGCGACTATATCATATAGCTGCCATATAACTGAACGATCGGAAAAGCCATAACGTTGGTGTTTTTAAAGTTAGGAAGTTGGGATTTTCTATAAGTTTTATTTTTGGCCAATTAATCCGACCTACCGAATTTCATAAGGATCGGACGACTATATCCTATAGCCGCCATATAACTGATTGATCGGAAATGCCATAACTTGGGTGTTTGTAAAGTTAGGAAGTTGGGATTTTCTATGGGTTTTATTTTTGGCCAATCAATCCGACCTACCAAATTTCATAATGATCGGCCGACTATATCCTATAGCTGCCATATTACTGAACGATTGGAAATGCCATAACTTTGGTGTTTTTAAAGTTAGGAAGTTGGGACACATACATCATATGAATGATTTTGAAGAATATAATTTACAGAATATTCTGCAAGGGTATATCAACTTCGGCTTCGTCCGAAGTTAGCTTTTCTTTCTTGCTTATACAAAAATTTTGATTAAGATATTTATACCCTTGCAGAGGGTATTATAATTTTGGTCAAAAGTGTGCAACGCAGTGAAGGAGACATCTCCGACCCTATAAAGTATATATATTCTTGATCAGGATCACCTCCTGAGTTGATATAGCCATGTCCGTCTGTCCGTCTGTCCGTCTGTCTGTCCGTCTGTCTGTTTCTACGCAAACTAGTCTCTCAGTTTTAAAGATATCGAATTGAAACTTTGCACACACCCTTCTTTCCTTTGCACGCAGTATATAAGTCGGAACGGCCGGGATCGGCCGACTATATCCTATAGCTGCCATATAACTGATTGATCGGAAATGCCATTACTTTGGTGTTTGTAAAGTTAGGAAGTTGGGATTTTCTATGGGTCTTATATTTAGCCAATCAATCTGACCTACCAAATTTCATTTCATATTATTTTTTATACAAAAATTTTGATTAAGATATTTATACCCTTGCAGAGGGTATTATAATTTTGGTCAAAAGTGTGCAACGCAGTGAAGGAGACATCTCCGACCCTATAAAGTATATATATTCTTGATCAGGATCACCTCCTGAGTTGATATAGCCATGTCCGTCTGTCCGTCTGTCCGTCTGTCTGTCCGTCTGTCTGTTTCTACGCAAACTAGTCTCTCAGTTTTAAAGATATCGAATTGAAACTTTGCACACACCCTTCTTTCCTTTGCACGCAGTATATAAGTCGGAACGGCCGGGATCGGCCGACTATATCCTATAGCTGCCATATAACTGATTGATCGGAAATGCCATTACTTTGGTGTTTGTAAAGTTAGGAAGTTGGGATTTTCTATGGGTCTTATATTTAGCCAATCAATCTGACCTACCAAATTTCATAAGGATCGGCCGACTATATCCTATAGCCGCCAAATAACTGATTAATCGGAAATGCCATAACTTTGGTGTTTGTTAAGTTAGGAAGTTGGAATTTTCTATGGGTTTTATTTTTGGCCAATCGATCCGACCTACCAAATTTCATAAGGATCGGCCGACTATATCCTATAGCTGCCATATAACTGAACGATTGGAAATGCCATAACTTTGGTGTTTTTAAAGTTAGGAAGTTGGGATTTTTTATGAGTATTAAGAATGCATCATATGAATAATTTTGGAGAATATAATTTACAGAGTATTCTGCAAGGGTATATCAACTTCGGCTCCGCCCGAAGTTAGCTTTCCTTTCTTGTTTTTGTTTAGTATTGGTACATATTTCAAAGATTTTGATCCTAAAAAAATGCTAACGATTATGGCAAATCATTATACACTTTTAAAAGGAATTATACATATAATATAAATATATATTCCAATTGATAAAAAAGAACAAACATTATATTATTGTAGTATTGTAATTAATATGAATATGAAAGACTTCTTCAAAGCTACTTTTTTGACCCCAATTGTTTATATATTACACAGTGCCCGAGTCTGGCTGTATGCATTCATTCGTTCATTAATTTATATAAAATGCAAGTTAATTCCGTTTTGTCTGGCCAAAGCTAAGCGACGTCGCCGCCGCAACGGAATGCCATCAATAAATGAACGGACCGAAACGAAGCGAACGGATCCCAAAATGGCCAGTATTCACAGACACAGATTCGGATACGCAGCATTGGCTGGGTCCTAATCTGTACTATGGACCATGGACTATGGTCTGGATAGTCCTGTTGCTGCTGCTGCTGCAGCTGCATTTACGTAACCATTTGTGCGGTGGTTGCGCCAAAAAGCGGAAAGCCATTTCAAAATGGTTCTGGCCAGACGGACCGCCGAATATGCATATGTAAACAGAAATAGAAACAGTGACAGTAGTCTCAGTCCAGCTCGGCTGGGATTTCGATGGGATTTTTGCTAAACTGCTCATTTGAATACACAAATAAGCGAGCCATGGTTGGCAGACTTAAGGAACTTTCATTAAACGGGCGAATGTGCAGCTATTAGAAGGATTAGATTAGGATAGGGAAATTGAATAAAATCAGCGAAGTTTCCAAGATCCACTATTGAATTTTTGAGATTATTCTTACCATTATTTTATGCTCACTGAGAATGGTGAAGGTCTCTTGCATTTCGTGTATTTTCTGCTCGTTAGACAGCGTCGTCGACTGCACCGTAGCAATGGTGGTCATGACCAACTTGAAGTCCTCCAGCTCGCGTGTCGTCTTGTTGAGATTCAGGCTGAGGGTCTGCCACAGATTTGCACAGATTAGGAGGGCAGTTTTGGGAGAATTGTGGAAAATGTTTCAGAACCGAGACTCACTTTGATTTCGTTACGCATTGCCCTCATGTTGTCGTTGACATGGCGCAACAGCTCCTCGCCCAGTGTGGTGCACCAATCCTTGGCATGTTGCGTTATGCTCTCCAGCAAGGGCTGCAAATTTATGCGCACACACTTTATGTCCTGGTACTTGCGGGTGTTGGCCAGCGTTTCCACAATGGACGAGTAAAATGTAAATTTCTCATCGATTTCGATGAGCGTCACCTGCTTCTCCAAGAATTTCTGGCAAATGAAGCCCTTTTCAAAGGCCCACAGATTGAAGTACTTGCGGAATCTTTGGGGTGAAATGCATTCATTTCGTTTCATATCCTCCCTTAATTAAAGCATACTTACTGAGATACAAATCCTCTGGCTTCGTTGGCAACTCTTACAGCCAAATCGTGAATGTTTATGACCAAATCCACAATGGATCTGATCTGGATAATGTCCTCATAGTAGGTGTAGTTGTACTTGAACTGTTTACCCATTTCTACCAGAGGACAGGCGATGCAAGTGCCGGTCATCCAGCGCGTAAAGATTCTCAACCTCGAGATATAGTCCTTTGTGGCGATCACAATGGTGTTTTGCAGCTCCTGTACTGAAGGCTCCAGAACAATCTCTGACATTAGGAGCACTGCGTTGACCTCAAACATGGGCTTATTCGAGAGTAGGCGGTTGATATAGCACTTCAGATTCTGATATGTCATGCTGCAATGAAAGATATTAGTTATATAAGAGTCAGAAGAATATGAACTATTTCTTACTCAACAATACACTTGAATGTCTCCTCTTCCCAGTACTCGTAGTATGTCTTCATCCGGTCCGATCTGCCTGAAAAAGTGCCCAGTACTAAGCTCTCCAACTTAACGAGAACTGGACCTAGGGAATCATAAAGCTTCTTCATCTGCGCCGCCTTTCGATTGCGTGATGCCTCCAGAAGTTCAAAATAGCCCTGGCACGGATATATACCGGAGCCGCAGATTTGTTCCGCTTTCTCTTCCGCGGGCACGTCTTTTTCGATTGTAAACATGGTCACAGTTTCGCCAGTGACCGATCTGAACTTTTGGGAAAACTTCTTTGGATCCTGCGCGCCTGACGATCGCTTACTGTCAGAGGACGTAGATCTTCTCTCAGTCTTGAGTTCGTCATCAAGGTTGAACAAATTGAAATTCTTTATCATTTCGATGCGAGAGCGCAAGTCCAGGCGGATGAAATTGATTTGGGACACTATAGAGGTAAGCTTGCGCAGCTGGGAGTTGATTTGATCACAGAATTTTCCAATGTTAAAAGAGGTCCAAGTGTATCGGCCCACTCCCATTTGAATAAACAGTTCGGTGTCGTAGATGTGACCCCGCAGGAAGATCACCTCGGACATAGAGAGGTTGTTGATGATTGCCCGGTACTTCGCGATCACCTCTGTCATCCTTTCGTAGTCCTTAAAAAGTAGATCTTTCTTCATTATAGCAGTGCGGAGAACAGCGGGTAGCGTAAAGCCCAAGTGCTCGAACTGCTGAGCCTCAAATAGGACATCGAAGACGTCCCTTTTTAAATTGACCACAAAGTCCATGTCATACTCGATAAGGGTTTTGTCCTCCACTAGTTCGCGCCAAATGGGTAGGAGATATTGGGACTCGGCCCGCTGGAGTACTGTTAAATAAATGGATAATTGGATTAGACTCCTTATTTACATAAGATAATATCTAAATTTGAAACACTTACATTCGCATGTCCTTACACAGTGCTTATCCATAGCCGTAACATCTTTAGGCTTCTTTTCCTTGACCATTCTTATAAAGGCCGTGCACTCCTGCAGTTGAACATTGGCTTTTCGCGTATTACTGACCATCCACATAATCATGGCCACCAGCACGGTCAACCGGTTTATGCGACACATTAGCCTCTTTTGGGATGTATCGCCCACCACCAAGGCTTCATCTTCCGAGGAGGAACTCAGATCCGTTCCCGACTCGGCGAGACTGTATGCACTAAAAGCTTCCGATTGCACGGGCATAAGACTCGATTTCACGGGCGTAACGCGCCTCGAACTACCCATCTGCAGTTCCCGCGGCTTTGCTTTTAGGGTTTGGACGGCATCCGATATATAGGACACTGTGAAGATACAAATTATTTGCTTAGGGTATCAATAATATTTTGTTACGAAAAAATCCTACTTGTAGTGTCCCTGCAAATGCGAATGCTCAGCACGTTCGAACGGTTCGTGGTGTTTACCAAGTACGTGGCGTTCTGTATAAAGTTCTCAAAGAGCACCTTTTCAAACTGGAACATTACGGTCATCAGCTCGAAGTACTGCTTAAAAGAGCTACGCTTCAGGAAGCTGTTTTGGATAGCCGGCTCATCCTCCACCTTCTTGAACGCCAGTACGGAGGTCTTGAGCTTCTTGCCAAGCAAGCGGGCCCAGAATATGGCACTTATTTTGGCCGGTTGGTGCTTGGCCATGGGTGGAGATTTTTTCAATTTCTAGGAAGGACATCAATAATAAGTTGTGTAAGGTGAAACAGTTATTAAAAGCTTTTTTATTTTTCTTGTATTTTAAAGGATTGTTAGGTTTCTATGTATCATTCTAATAATCTCTGATATGTTAACCTACCGTGAAAACCCGTTCTACAGCATTGATCTCGGTCACAAAGAAGCGCAGGAGGTTCTCATGTTTGGTGGACACAAACTCCTGGAGACCAGCTCTCGTGTCGATGTTCATGGCATTGATGACCAGATCCAGACCCTTCTCAGAGGACAGCAGCGAGTTGATGCTCTGGTCGATGACGTTCTTGGCCTCGTTCTCCACGTTGTCCAGTCGCTTGTTGAACATCTCAAGCGAGTACTCCCAGTTCTCCCAATTTCCTGGCCTGAACATGTCGTAGTCCACGCTCTTGATCAGATCGTCAAGCATGCGATACACCTTGCGCATCAGGTTGTCCACAATTGAGGGATCCGCAATGCAAGCCTTTAGCCGATGCCCAAATAGATTCTCGTACTGGACAAACACTCGTCCCACATAGGCAATGTCCACTGCCACGCGATGGATGTGGTTGACCTCGTTGAAGAGCGCCACACTGTCGAATTCCCAGCGGGATCCGGCTCCGGAATCCTCGATGTGCTGGCGACTGAGCTTGTAGGCCTGCTTCCAGCAGCGCAGCAGGTTGGCGCAGTTTGTGGCCGTCTCGTAGGTGTAGGTCGCAGAGAACCTGCAACGGGGGAGCCAATTAGTTTAGAGAATACTAACTTAATTAGCAAATTAAAATAGATAAGTTGCTTCAATTAGTGGTAAAATTAGTTAACAGAATAATTGGCAAATTGCAGAACTGTTAAAATACAAATATTTCATGTCGTAAACTATTAAAAACTATTAAAATCTTAAAACTAATATGGTTTATATAAAAAAAATAATAAAAAATAAAAATAGAAAGAAATAAAAAATAAAAGTCAAATCAAAGTTCCCGGCAAATCAATTGACTGTATGCGATATATATTGTATAAACTTCGTCACGCACGAAAAACTCTTTACGAGCATCACAATGACGTGCCCACCTCTAGATTCATTAATAAAAGTTAATCGAAGCACTTGGCCAATTCACTTACTTGAATATGTTCTCGAAGTTGATGATGCTCTTCACCTTCTGGACGAACACATTCGAGATCTGGCAGAGCAGGACCTGCATCTCGGGATCACGGCAAAAGTGGCTGGACATGGTCCAGATGTGGCGCAGTCCAACCATTATGTTGGGGATCTGGAGCACCACCATCTTGAAGCTCTCATAGCTGCGCACTTTCTGGTAAGGTAAAGAAAACGGAAACTGTTAGTCTTTCTATGCATTTTACAGTATTATTTAAATTATTAAAAGAAAATTAAATAAGACAGCCACTAAAACTTGGTCACTGTGTAAGGTTTTGGTTATGAAAAGAACTCGTTTTCTTGAGAACCAGTAGTTCCAAAAGAAACTTGAATCTTTAGAGTTGCCAACTGTTCAAATGTTTTTACACAGACAATTTCACTTCACGAGTTTAATAATGTTTTGTTTTTGGATAACAAGCCGAATCCTGAGCATGTAAGTAAATATAATTATATTTTCTTAAACTACTTTTTGCTTTAAATTATTTTTCTTTCTTTAGCTGCAATCATCATAAAATTATACATAGAATACTCACCTCCAAATAGTCTGTAATGGTACCCAAATAGTCTGAGTTCTCCTTGGCCAATTTGAAGCGAGCTTCGGTTCTCTCCAAAACTTGTTGCCACTCGGCCAAAACCGGGGACTTATCATCAGCCAGTCGTTGCAGAACGGCCACCACGAATTCAGTTTTTAACTGCTCCAAAGTGCCATAAAGCTCCACCTCCATCTTGTGCCAATAGCGATGCTCAGCCATCGGCGTAAAGTCATCCAGTTTGGCAGCCGTTAGCGACTTCATCGTCTTCTTCAAGTACTTAATCCAACCATCGACCACTTCCTCCAGCTGCTGTTGCGTGTAGGTGATCACCAGGTCCAGTCTTTTTGGGTCGACGGGCACCCGGATGATGGCGTCCTCGAACTCGGTCTCCTCCTGACCAGGAAGAATGTACGAGGATGGCAGGCTAAAGGCCCAGACTATGTGGTTGATGGTCCATGTGATTTCACCCTGGAACTCCTCGATTTCCTTGAGCAGACGCCTCTGAATGGGAGTGATTCGCGGGGGCGTGGCCTCCTCTGCAGCATGCTCCGCCTCCACTTTGGCCTTCGTCTCACTGAGCATCTTCTCCCAACGCTGAGCAATCGTAAGCTTTTCGACCTTAACTTCCACTAAAGAGAGGAGTACATGGGGTAAGTAACCATGCCAAATATTATATTATATTATATATTGTTATATTATATTTAAACATAAATCTATCCTATTTGAATGATCTGTGACCTAGGATCATTGAATCATTATAAATGAAATAGGAATCCTATATGACGAAAACATGATATTTTGAGACCTATTTTTAGAACAAGAATGCAAGGGAAAGGGATACCATTTAAATTTATTTAAGAAAGGAAAATATTTTAAGAAGATTGGAATAATTTAAAGCTCAGAGATTTAAAGATCTTTCTAATGAAACCTACAAATGACATTAGCATTTTAACCAACAAAATATAAACTGATTAAATTTCTCTTGGAGTATGTACTGACCTTCTTCGTCGGAGGAAGATACGTGGGCCTCGATTTTGTGGGCGTCGCTTTCTTCATCTTCCTCCGTGGCTTCCGTGCCCGGTTTCTTGGCCTTCGCCTTTTTGGCCGCTGCCTCCTGTTCCTTCTTCTTCCTGGAGAAAAGGATCGGAGGGAGTGGCAAATAAACAAACGCAAACAAACACAATTAACGGCGGCCAGCATGCAAAATTAACACAAAGCGTAATGAAAGGCTCCTCCGATAAGCAAAATGAGCAACAAATACAAGGGCCAGAAAACAAAGCGTAACAAAGGCTACTCCGCTGGACGTGGACATGGACATGAACCCAACTCCGGATCGCCCTGCGTTGGCATTTTTTAATCTGACTGGTTAAAAAAAGGCAAGAAAAAATAGGATGCCCAAAATGAAAGGGGAAAAATTTAACTGTGGCGGTCAAGTGGCATTCGCGAGGCGGCAATGAAAGGCCAATGCAAGGATGAATGAGGCGCGCCAGGATGTGCCATAAATGCTGCCTGCCAAACAAATGGAAAATGGCCAGAAGACAACAACTACGGCCAGCACACCGACGACAACGGAGAGCGGCGCCGTTGATGGTAGCATGAAATCCGATTAAAAATAAAAATTTCTTATCGGATGCGCTGTAATTTATGTGCGAAAAGGGTTCTGTGCAGCGGCATCGGCAGCGGGAAAAGGCAAAAAAGGCAACTGTGTGGCCGATGGTAACCGGCGATAAGCGCAAAACAAAGGCAAACAAAAATTTGCACCAACAAAAAAATCTCGCCCAGAAAATGGGGTAAAAGAAAGCCAGCATTCACAATCGGAGCTCCAGTCACTCCTCCACTCCAGCAGCTGGAAACCAATAAACCCGGCCCCGATTTTTGCCCAGAAGCCAGCGGAGCAGCGAATGCCGCACTCTGCCTTTGTTAAAAGTTAAATACTTTTGTTGTTTAAGCGCTCTCAAACGAAATTCCGATGGTTTGGATAGCTCCAATAGACCCGGCCCCGATTCCTTGGCCTCGCTGGATATATCCTCGCCGGCGTCGCCGCCTCCTCCTCCTTCTCTGGAACCTCCAGCCTGCTGCCCTTCATAACTGTCCATTTGCTGGCTATCCGCTGTGGCCGGTTCGCGAAATTGAAATTGAATGGCGCTCTTGTAAACCTGGTTTGGTATAGGGGGGAAAAAAAAGAAAAGAAAAGAAAAAACAAATGCACATGTACAATGGAATCAAAGATGGAGTGCCAGGATATTGGAGGCTGCCTGCGGTCTGTGTAGACTTTCTAATTGATTCGCCCCCGTTCGCCGATTTGCCAAAAACTGATTCTCAGGCAACAATTTTCCAATTTACTTTCATGCAAAAGCTAATATTATGGAACCACTCGCCCCCCTTCTTCCGACTTTTGTGGACCGCAGAATTCGCAAGGCCGAAGTCTTGGGTGGCAGCCTAATGGAAACCGCAGCCCGTTTTGGAGCTATGATGAAGCAATTTGCGTTGGCGGTCACCGCTTAAGGCTCGGTTCAGTAGGCGTGATGGAACCACCCATCCAACCACCCATCATTGTACCACCCAACCCCCCATTGAACCACCCGAAATCCTCTCAACTCTCCAAGTGGTGCAGTCAAGCGGAAAAATCTTGCGGCACAGCGGGCATTTTGATAGATGACTGCCTTGTTTCGGGAATTAATTACAATTCGTCACAACATTTTGTTTTGCGGTCGGAGAGCGGACTTCAGGACGAAAGGACATGGAACGGACAAAGGAAAGGCGAAGGCTTGAAACAATGAAGAATCGGCCTTAAAGTCCTTGATTGATTGAACAACGTTTTATGGTGTGTGAAATGAGCGAATCGGGTGCAAATTTGAGTGATTTTGGTGTGGTGATGCGTCTTTTAATGTCCGATTACGGAGGAAAACGTACGGGAGCTCGAAATTCGGAGGCTTACCAAGTTAAAGTCATCGCGAAGCGAGTTGATGAGTGACCCACGGACAGTTCCAATCAGGAAGTACAGCGGCATTTGTGCGAAGCAAGTCGGTATCTCATCGAACCATGCTGAAAAGGACATTAAAGTTTACAAATTATAAGGATGACAAAAATAATGGGTTGTAAAACCACAACGAACTACTTGACATTAATTCTAGATAGTCATGATTTGTTGAGAAAATCGGAAAATAATAACTTCTTAGGACCTTTTTATAATCCCTTAAGTAAAAACAGTGAAAAGTGGCTTTGACGAACATTCCCAAAAATTATAAGTGGATTTCAAGACTTTGTATTAAAATACAAAGTAGCCATTTATTTGGAATTTTATGTAGGGCCATCATTTGTTTATCGATGTGGTTTTTGAACCGTTTTTTTTTGTCAAAATTTTCCTAGTGCTTTACTCACGTATCTCCCTCCTGTTTTTCCGAAGAATATATATGTATTTTATTTTCGGGTCCAGGTCTTCGGACTCCATCTTCCCGAAGTGGCAGTGTATTTGTGGGGTCTTTACGTACGCTGGCACCAGTTTCTGTAATTTGTTGCGACTTTACTGACTAGTTTTAGGTTTTATCACATCGGTTTTAAGGGGTTGTGAGCCATTTTCAATTAGGGATCTCTCGCACACCCTTTGTGCCTTTCAATTAGGGCTTGTTCACACAAATGCTCACCTTCACTTCCACGTAGACGGGGACATAGCTGGGCTTCTTCTTTTTCTTGGATCCTTTGGGTGGGAATATCGGGAAGGTGCATTAGTAAGGGGGCAAAAATGGGCGTGTCAAAAGCGAGTAAGCGACTGCGGCTCCGCGATTACAATTGTGATTGAGATTGATGGGATGGAACAAAGTGCAGCGGGCGGAATTCGCATTGTGGCAAGTTGCGCGCTTCCATTTAAATGCAATGAATGAGCCGGCGAAACTTTGCTCTTATCTTTGCACCAGGCAATGGAAAATCAAATGAGTTGGATGGGTGGCTTGTTGGGTGGGTCGGTGATTCAAATTAAAAGTTACAAAAGAAATGAATTTTCAGACCGACAAACGAAAATGAGGCCCTTAAATATTTATGATGTGAAGTGGGCAGCGCAAATCAAAGTGCGGACCAAGATTTTCGTTTGATATCAAGTTGGACGGGCTAAAAATTTATGCATCGCCAGAATGGAGAAGACCGGGTGAAATGAAAGAGGGAAAAAACTGAAAAACTAAAACTTTTGAAATTAAAATCTTTGGACAGAAACAAAGGAAACTCGCGCAATGCATCATATTTACCGTTTTCAGTATCAGAGCTGGCTGAAAATATTATTGAAATTTATATAATGTTGTTGGGGATAAAGAAAAGTAATTGTATAGCTAAAACCGGCACAATACCCAAATCAAAAATGTATATATATCCCCTCTAAACATAAATATTTAATCCATACCGTGAGAGCTAAGTTTTCTAAATTTCTATTTTATTATATGATTTTCATATTAGGATTTTGATGTCTTCAATCAACGAACATATATATGAATTTTTAAATTTAAGTGGTTAGTTTAAAACATGTGTTACGTATATTCCAATTGTCATTGTGTAACAATATAGAATATTTAAGAAAAAGTTTAATTGGAACCACTTGTTTTACGGACACTCCTGTTCTTTTGATTAGAAAAATTGTATACCTAAACTTTCTTTATGTATTGTAAAGGGTATCTTAATGTTTATTTGCTATTTTATTTATACTTACGGCGGGATCGCGCTGAGCTCTTTCCGCTCCCAGCGACTGTGGCCTCCTCCTCGCCCTCCAATTCACCCTCCACCTCGGCATCGGTGGTTTCCCCACCAGTGTTGACCTCCTCGGCGTGCTCTTGATCTCCACCAGCGGCTGGAGCTGCCTGATCCTGTCCTGCCTTTTTGCGTCCTTTCCCGGCTGCTCCTGCGGCTGCACCAGCTTTGCCGGCGGACTTGCCGCCCGCCATCCGAGCATCGCCCTTCTTTTTGCCCTTGCCCTTCTTATCGGGCACTGTGGGCGGTGGGCGTGGTACCTCCTCCAGCACCGTTATCTCCTCCTCAATAAGCTTGTCGTAGAAGGTGCGCCACACGAACAAGACCACGAAGTCCAGATCGTCTTGCGTTTCGTAGCGTCGCTGGAAGAAAGCGTCCACGGCGGGCATATTTGCGTTCATCGTGGCATTCACATACTTGGGTTCAAACACTCCCAGCAGGTTGGAAATAATCGTCTTCAGCCAGACAACGCGAGGCTCATCGTTGCTGAAGGTTTCGGGCGGGCCATCTACACTCTCCGAGGCGGAATCGAATTGGGTTTGCGACATGGTGGTATCCGCTTATTTGAATAGGTCCTTCAAAGTGGGTAGTGGCTGGTGGAGTGGGTTTCCGATTGGGTGGAGTGGGATTCAGATCTGGGGTCCTTTGCTTGCTCTCTTTTGGTTGTTTGGCTGCCACGTCGACGTCTTCGCGCGGCTGCACATCAAACGTTTGCCTTGATTTCTCAGGATTTCTCCTGCCAGGATGCCTTCTCCTCCTTCTTGGATGCCTTCTTCTCCTCCTTCTTGGATGCTCACCCACCTTTCCGTTTTTGTTGTTCTTTCAATCAATTTCAACTGCCGCTGTGCAGTTTTGTTTCGTTTCCGCCTATCGCGTTATGCTGGCGTATTTACTCCTGGGCGTCTGCAAATCCTTTTGTGTATCCCAGGACAACAGTTGCGGCTGCAGCTGCGGCTGCGGCGATGGCCGTTGCCAGCCCCTCTAAAACCGAATATGAACGCCGACTTGGAGTGTTGGCTGTGGCCCACACAGATATACAATTTGTTAACAACGTTTGATATAAATTACTTCCATTTCCCTGACGAAAATATAGCAGGTTTACTTTGATTTCTGTTTAAAGACGTCGAATAATAGTGGCGTTGTTTAAAATGGTTATGTTGCTTGTTTTGATTCCATTCCCCCGGTTATGGGTCTGGTTGCCTTGACTAGTTGTTGTTAGGGAAAAACACCCAACTACCACCCACCACCCGTTCCATCGGATTTAATGTAATTTTCTGGTGCCTTCTCCTTCTCCTTACCCGGTGGCTACCTGTCAGCCACACTTGCAACATGCAACAGTCGAATAGCAATGCCGGAGCATTGTTGGAACCCTTGGAACCCCGAGCCCCACCTCCTGCCAAGTTGTGGTGCGCACGCCGTTGCGTAAACAAAACACGCAGCCCTGACTTAATGGCTATGCACATTAGCAACGTGCCAGGGACTTGCCCAGTTGCCAGGTCTCCGGGTCAAGTACTGGCCCCGCAGCCCAGGAACGTGGTCGGTGGCTCAATAACTGTATAGGGCCATAAATGGAAATATTTACTCGGCACCGTCAACACGGCAAAGTGAGTGAGATTGTGGGTTAAGTAAAGTAAGTGCAAGTGCAAAAGTCAACTTTGCAGGCTCTGAAATTGCCTAACAACCGACTGCCGCCAAGCTCCTTGATGACTTCACTTAAAGTGCATATTCTGGTTGCTACCATCAAAGTTGCGCAATCAAAGTTCGCAGCCAATCCAATGTGCTTCGGAAATCAATTCCATGGGATGTCATTGATTTTTCATTAATTCTAAGATTTTACCTACTTTCACGTTCCCTAAAAATTCGTTATCTAGCTAATGTGTTTTTTAATAGACCATCTTAGGTACACAGAAAAAAATCAAATTAGGATAATTTCGATTATCAACATTTGTAAACGAAAACATGGGCAACAATATTCAGTAGTCTTTAGACATTATGTTTATTTGCTGTGCAAACAAAAAAAAATTGTGGTTAAATTCATAAAAATTAAATTGTCTGACAATTGGGATAGCAAAAAAAAGGGATACAGATTTCTGGTGTAGATGTAACTTGAAGGAATTTTTTAAAATTTAAGTTAGTCAGTAGTGTTGGTATGGGCCTTCCACGCGAGGCATTTGGAGTCGATTGTCAGCCTTGGCTTCCTCAACTGCGGCAGTTTGAGGCGTGCTTCGATAATGCTCGGCATAGTGCAGATAATGTGGTGGTCTTCAAAGTACTTGATCATCTTTATAGCTTTTAGAGTGTATAAGATGTCCTCCTGCAAGAACCCAGTCGATTTGCTAATTTCCTTGATGGTTATCTGCTCCGTCGAGGAGCAGTTTCTTAACAAATCGAGAATGGTGTAGCCCCAAAAGCTGCGATAACAAAGCCGGCCGATATCCGACAGCGGCTTCTCTGGACCGCCGATGAAGCCCTCCTTGCGAGAGATCTCGTAGCTCAAGGCGATCAGCAGCTTCCCATATCCCTTCCGCTGATGGGGCGGTAAAACAAGGAGACAGTTCACGTTGAAGTTCTCCTCCGAATCTTTATCCTTGGCAAAGTAGCCCACAATATGCTCGCCATCCTGATCCTTCACGCACATAATATAAAAATAAAACGGAGTCGGGTCGTAGAACAAGCCCTTGTTTTCAAGAAAGAGCTTTGCCAACAGGCAAAGAAACTGGCAGTAGAGGTTATCCTTGTCGCCATCTACCTCGTAGATGTAGATGTCTTCCTTTCGGTATATTAAGTACCCCGGCGGCTTTCTCTGCTTGCAGTCGTACAGGTGATATGAGTAGCTTTTTCGCAAGGACATGTACTTCAGGCAAAATTCACAAACGTAGATGATCGGCACCTTGGCGTATTTATCAGGATAGGGACTACTGTACAAGGTTTCGATCTCGTAACGTCCAAACTGAACTTTTTCAATGTTTTTGGTTGTTTTTGATTTGTGGTTTAGTTTCTTGATTTTGAGCTCTTGATTCTTCTGGAGGTTAGTCATGTTCTGCATCTTCTTGGCTGGCAAACTCTTTTCCAAATCCTCCGCCCTTTCAGATATGCGATGAACGTCCACCCAGCCATCTAGTTTTTTGTTCAGACCAATATAACGCACGTAGTATTGGTCGGGGATATCAGGGTTATTTGATTTTCGAAATTGAAGCAATTGTCCCTCGTGAATGGTACCATCGTCGCATCGTATGTAGCACACATTGTCGTGAATTTCGTTAATTGCCAAGAGGGAATTCTTGCGGATCGTTTCGCTGAGCTCCTTCTCGTTCTCTTTTTCCGTGGGGACTCGATCGGCATCACCCAAGGCAGAAGCTTGGGGGTCTGAAGTATTCTCCAAAAGCAATAGAGGAAGTGATGTTTCCACTTCGGGATTGGGCACAGTACAATAAGAATGCAAGTCTGTTTCACAAATCGATTCTGTCCCCTGCTGGATCGTTTTTGATGATTCATTTTTCTCTAAGATGGCGACATCAACGGACTTCTCATCCAATAACTTCTCTGGGGTCTGCGGAATCTTCTCCTGAACAGGACTAGACAATTTATAAATCAGCTTGTTTAATGAGCTTTCACTATCGGTACTATACCTATCCTCCAGGTTATTTTTCACCTCGTGGATTTTGATCAGGGACACACCTTTCAACACAGACAGACCATGATCTACCGATCGTGGTATATTTTCGTATTGGTCCTCCAGGTGCTGCTCCTTCTTATCGTCCTTATTTTGCTCTGCCATGGTTAATCTTATTGTGAATTCATCCTTTTTAAAAACGTGGATTTAGGGTTTTTCGAGATGACACTTGTGAAGTGATATCGATAATTATAAAAAATCGAAACGTGTAAGGCCGCCCGAATAACAGAGATGCCACCTAGTTTGAAATTGCATTGTTATATTTTTAATGAAAAAGTTATTATAATTTACAAAATCTCTGTTACTCAGATTGACCCAATCTTTATGCCCCCCATTTTCCTCAGTGTTGAAAATGTTTGGCGATATTGGCTCAGTGGGGCATGGCACATCCAGCTACCTTGATCTATCGAAGCCGCCAGTGCGAGGACAACCCAGCTCAATACTAATTAAAATAAATGAACATTTACGTCGTCACAGCGTGAAAGGATGTGGGCGAGGGGCCAGGAGTTCGGGGTGAAAGATTAGGTGACGAGCCGGGGGCAACGGAGACATCATTAAAATGCATGGTTCAAACGGTGCGTATACTTAATATAGATTGGATTGAGAGCGTGTGTGGGAATGGGACGGTGTGTCCTGGATGAGTTGGCTCCTTTCGCTACCACGTTCGCTTGCGGTGGCTGTAATCTTTATGCGTCATGTTTTTATTTGTATTTATTATTGCGTCTGCGGAGAGCAGAGTAGCGAATAGCACACTTTGTTTGCAGGTGAAATATTCCACGCATCCAGCGAAATGAGAATTTATTGACTTCGCTCTGCATATGTGCGTACTATGTGTGTGTGTGTGTGTGTGTGTGTGTGTGTGTGTGTGCCTTTTCTATAAGTGTCTCTGTTTGCGTAGCCAGGTTTCCGCTTGAATCCTGCCAGGACCCCGCAAACACCCCCCTCCCCCTCCCTCGCACCATGCACCCACTGCATATTTATCTACGTCACACGAGTTTGATAAACACAACCATGGCTTGGAGACAACTCGAACGGTGCCTTCGTCTGTTTGCATTTGTGCTTAATAACTTTTAAATGATGCGGGCGTGCCTTTGAGAACGAAGGCAACTGCAAGAAGGTCCTGAGATCTGTATCCTGGGTTCTGGGTCCTGGGCCCCTGGAGCCTTACCCCATAATTAGTGCTGTACATATGTGCAGTGACTACCTTGCACCAATAATAACCCATCTCCCATTTAAGTCGAGCTATCATTCACATAAGCAAATATGTAGGGGCAATTATAAAATATACTTGTGCTGATAAATTAACCATAAAAAGACAGAACTCTATAGCTAAGGGAGTTGACAGTAAAAATATATATCTATAAAATTTAAAAATATGTTAAAAGTGTATTTGTATTATGGGATCGGAAGATGTCCTCTACTAAGTACAATATAGTTTTCAGAAAAGGGTTAACAACTGAAAAAAGTTTCTTCTTTGTAATTTATTTTTATTCGTATACACATTTAAAAAAAGTTTTTGAAAGTATTAATTTTGATTTAATTAATTAGTTATTTCTAGTTTCTAGTTAATAAAGGTGCATATAACTTTCTTATACGTTGTATTCAGTTTTATTTTACTTCGTTAAGTTGTATATATGTTTTTAGGTACTCTGTCTCATCAGCTTTATAAATTTATAAACCCATGCCAGCACCTGACGTCAAATAGATACCTATTAGCCCTTGACCTGTTTGGCGAAGATAAGTACAGAGGCTCTCAATTGGGTTTGGAAAACGGTTTGCATGGGGCCAGCTGGTGATGGGATTGGCCAGGCTTTTGTTTAGCCAGCTGAACAGTTGGAAAATGGTTACAAACAGTTTTGAAATGCCCATAATTGATGCAGGAGGTGCAGGCACCTCAAAGCCAGGCAATCGCACTTCAATATGCATAGGAATGTGCCCTGCAACCTGCAACCAGCCCAAAGTTACAATCCGGCTGGAATCGAACCAAGTGCGGTCAGGCGTCTCTGCAAGGATGCAGGATACTGGATGCAGGATGCAAAGCCAAAATCTGAGCTGGCCGGACTGTGTTAATTAATAAACTGGGTCTACTTTAAGACGACGCCTGCATTGGCCCAATTGCCATGGCATCCAGGGCGGCCAAAGCAGCCGTAACCGCAACGATTTGAATGCAGTTTTGTCTGCCACAAAAGCCGAATTCCAGCAACTGGCAGAGATTGCATGCTTTGCGGATACTTAACGAATCGACGCCTGAGAAGCAGACCAATATGGACCGGTGCCCTCAAAGCCGTATAATTGGCCAGCGATGCGCCATCCACGCTGCCATGGACTCGATACACTCGATACTCGATCTATCCCTTTGAGCATTGGTCAAATGCCGCATTTTTGAAGTAATAAAGCGCAGGTCAATCTGAACCTGTGTGTGGCCTGTGTTGTGGTTGCAGTAAATGCCAGTTACACCAGTCAACAGGAATTTTCGAAACGCTGTTTTTGTTTTGTGTTAAAAGTTCACATTCCACAACCCTGAGAATACATTGCGTTGTTTTAACCTAGAAACATTTCAATCACTGCTAAGGATTACATGCCGAATTCTCCAAAATAGTGGATTTTGACAAACTCCTTTTCCAAATTATTCCATATTATTCGGTCCGATTCAATAGTATTATAAAAAAAACCAAAGAATTTAATTAGTATTAATAAAATATTTCATTCTGGCTATGAAAAGAAAAATTAACAATAAAGAACTAATGAGAAGGATGATATACATTCTTAGCTGAGGTTCAACAAACTCCCTCTCCAGCTTTTATCTTAGTTTTTTCTCCCTCGAATTCATTGAACCCAAGCTTTACAGTATTCTGTATTGGGACATTCCCCATTTCGCTGCTCCTCCTCGTTCTGAATCATTTGGTATGCTCTTTAGAGCGCTGGCTAATTAACATAGCCTGATTGCTGAGCTATTTCCATTTACCTCTGCCCAGCCCTTATGCAAACGGGCAAAGTTTTAACAAAAAATCTATCGTTGTCTTCAACAATATTATTCAGAATCTTGGCCAGCCACCCACCACCAGTAACCTCATTCGCATAAGCAAAGTGAAGTTTTTTGGCCACAGTTGGAAAGTTTTTTGACTGGCTCAAGTTTTATCATATTTTTGCACAGTCAAATCTCAGCGAATAAGTCTCCGCTGCTCCGACTCTCGGTTCAATTTGCATACAGAGTTTGAGCATTATTTTTATTTACCTGATTCAGCGCTGATTTATGATTTTATCGTGAAAAATGCAGAGCTGCGACGAGCGAAGGACGAAGACGAAGACAAGGACGTGGAAATGGACGTGGAGAGCAGAGCTCACGGAAAGTCAATTGAAATGCAAACGTGGCCAGTGGGTCGCCATCCGGTGGTCGTGAGTGGAGCTGGGTTCCGAGCTGGGGAGCTGGGGAGCTGCTCCTCCTTTTGTTTGGGTGCGCCATTGCGTTTGGCCATAACTCAAAAGCTGGAGCTTTGTTGCCCACCAATTGCCCGGGCATCACGTGTTTTCATTTGGCGCCTCTCGCTTTCGCTTTGTGCCAAGTGCTCGGGGGAATTGTCACGTCACAGGAAGTTGCAGGCGACGTCATTGACTCATAAATAAAGTTAGAGCTACAAGGATGGTCGAAGAACCAATTGCTTTGATACAATTTCGACCGAGAATCGGCCGACGGATGTGCCCAGAATGCAATCCTGCGGGCCAGGATCCTGCAAATCTTTCTTTTATCTTCAAAAGTCGATGCATATCGCAGAGATACCATTTCTCTTTTCTTTCTTTGTTCTCTATAAGGTGAAAAGGTTGCAATAGTAAATTAATATATTACAAAAATATAAAATTTGATTGGTAATATTCAGAAATATTTTATAAAAATAAGTCGTTGAGAAATTAAAATTTAAGAGAAGTCAATAAAATCCTTTGACAAAATTCATTACTGAAAATACTCATTTTCGGGTAAAAATGCGTCACATATTTGAAATACTTAAAGATTTAGTCAATGCACAAAACAAACTACAAACAATTTGATTGGTAATATTCAGAAATATTTAAAAAAAATAAGTCGTTAAGAAATTAAAATTTAGAAGTCAATAAAATTCCTCAATAAAAGCCAGTACTGAAAATACTTATTTTCAGGGTAAAAACGCGTCACATACTCGAAATACTTAAAGATTTAGTCAATGCACAAAACAACTTATAGAGCTCTTTCACAAAGTGGGGTACGAATTTAATTTGCCATGAACTCTCCATGCGTTCAAATAAATATATATATATACTACCACTAGCCCCATTCGCACAGTTAAACACGTCAATAAGTTATGGCTATTGTTGGGGCGTGGGTGAAACCGGGAGTCAGGTGCGTAAATGCTCCGGGCGGGCTGTCAGTCACCGCTGCCAGCGTCAGCTCCTCGAGAAATTGGGGGCAGGTGGTGTGTCCTGCGTTCGGTGTTCTGTAGCATGTAGCCTGGCCAGCCGTGCTCTCGGCAGCCGTCATGTGGCTGCTTCATTAAAATATGCAAGCAATATTGCGGCATAAAAACACACGAAATTATACAAAAGCCGGGCAAACGAACGCCCACACACATGCGGTACGATGTCAGGGTGAATTTTTCATAATTTCCAACGTTCAAGGGGCAGGGGAAAATATATTGCAATATTTAACGGACGCAGCGCAGAATGCAGCTCCTGCTTTTGCTGCAGTTGTCAGGACGGGGATGGCTAGGATCGAGTGGTTAAGAGAGACACGGTCGAAAAAAGGGAGAAATGCAGAAAGGACAGGCGGACAGCGAACACATTGAAAGCGCATTTATTTGTCACTTGTCAAGCGCCGCAGCGTCGCATCCTGGGCCAACTGGCATTTTATAATTCCCGAACGCTTTCCTGGCTCCTCCTGCGTGCCCCGAGTCGTTGAGAAATGTCTCTTGATTGTCTCTCACACTTTTCCACACTGCAAGAAATAAGGTTATAGGTACGTACTCATTCATACGAAAGAATTAAAGTATGAAAGGTTAATTACCATATATTTTTAGATAGCCATTACCATCATTTCGTCCTTGTGAAAACGTATGTACTTCAGGAATAACAAGTGT